TGAATGGGCACTGCAAGAATTAAAAAGCGTCAGCCAAGAAATATCTCGAACCTTGCCTTTCTTTGCTGTCATGACATAAAACGTGAACCATTCCTACACTGTATTGTTATGTGTGATGAAAAATGGATTCTTTTTGACAATCCTAAGTATTCGGCACAATAGTTAGATAAAGATGAAACGCCAAAACACAATCCAAAACCCAATATTCATCAAAAATGCTAATGGTGTTTGTTTGGTGGTCCAGTGCTGGAATTATCCACTACAGCTCCATGAAACCTGGTCAATCGATTACAGCGGATGTCTGCTGCAACCAACTGGAAGAAATGATGAGGATGCTTATTGTCAATAGAGACAGGCCAATCCTCTTGCAAGACAACGCTCAACCACGTGTCACACAAACAATGCTGCTCAGACTATGAAAGATGGACTTGGAAAGTCTGTCATCCACCATATTCACCAGACCTTGCACCAACTGACTACCACTTCTTCCAGGCTTTGGACCACTTTCTGCAAGGAAAAATACTCAATTCTCAACAAGCTGTGGAAAATGCCTTTTGCGATTTCATTGCCACTTGCTCTCCAGGATTCTTTGCTGCTGGCATACAGACAAGCTACTATTAAGATGGCAAAACTGCATCAACAGTTTAGATACATACTTTAATTGTACCACGTCTGGTTTGAGATATAATAAACTTGATTTAAAATCGGACATTTCATATTTAATGACCTAATAATTCTCCCTCCATTATTTTTAAGACAGAAACTAGTGGAAAAGAAATTTAATATTGTCTTACTTTTTTGACAAATACAGATATTTTAAAGGAACAAAAGCTGTATGTTCACACAATTCAACTTTTAATTTCAATGTGAAAAATTTTTTTCATTCATTCATGTATCAAACACATCTACTGAACTGCTGCTGTATGCCAGGCATTACATAAGGCACTGGATTAGGAGTTAAGTTGTGAGGGGGAAAAAAAAAAAGAAGGTACTGGAAAGACCAAATGAATAAGGCAGGTCCTACTGTAGAATTATAATACTTTCTTCATGTGTTGTTCAGTATAACATTTATCACTAAGTAAAAACTTCAGGAGCACACAAAATACTAATTTTAAACCATAGCCCCCCTTTAATTATTTATTTTTTGAGACAGAGTCTTGCTCTGCCACCCCAGGTAGAGTGCAGTGGCATAATCGTAGCTCACTGCAACCTCAAATTCTTGGGTTCAAGCAACCTCCTGCCTCAGCCTCCCCAGTAGCTGGGACTACAGGAGTGTGCCACAACACCTAGCTAGTTTTTCTATTTCTATTTTTAGTAGAGACAGGGTCTTGCTCTTGCTCAGGCTGGTCTCAAACTCCCGAGTTCAGGCAATCTTCCCGCCTCAGACTCCCAGAGTGCTACAATTGTAGGCATGAGTCACCATGCCAGGCCTGTTTAAGAGACAGGGTCTCACTCTGTCACCCAGGCTGGAGTGCAGTGGCATAATCATAGCTAACTGCAACTTTGAACTTCTGAGCTCAAGCAATCCTGCCTCAGCCTCCTGAGCAGCTAGGACTACAGGTATGCACCACCACACCTGGCTAATTTTTTTTTTAATTTTTTGTAGAGATGAGGTCTTGCTGTATTGCCCAGGACCGTCTCAAACTCCTGGCCTCAAGTGATCCTCCTGCCTTGGCCTCCCAAAGTGCTGGGACTATAGGCATAAGCCACCAACCACACCCATCCCATACCCCTACTTTATAGCTTTCATCTTATTACCCAGCTGGATTTCTCTCTCTGAACTACTACCACCATCTTTATGAAGAGAAATTCTAAGCTCGATATTTCTCAAATTATATCTGGGCAAAATACTCCTCACTCTTCAAAGAGTGCCTTTACTATTACTACACTAGCCTCTAAACTCAGGACAAAACATTTATCTTTATGCATAGTGCTTGAACCACAGTAGGCAGTCAATAAATGCCTCCGGGATTGAGGGCCCAAAACTTGATGCCAAATACAGGTAGTGTGAGTGAGTATCAGTGCTTGAACAAAAGTAAAACTTCATTTCAATTTAGCATCTTCATTTTAATGTAATTATAAAAGTCACCAAAAATGATAGTACACTGGAAAATATTAAATAATTTGCTTACTCACAATAAACAGAATACCATAGAGTTCTAATTATTCATTTTCTTCTTTCAGGTTACCTTATTTCCTAAATCATTTATTTCTATCCTTGTTCCTTTTCTTTATTACTTCCGTGCCTACTGGAACAACAATAATACAATCCTTAACTCAAAAAGGTTTTAATTTCAGCTCCCAAATTCCACCTGCATCAGCTAAACTGGATTATGGCATGGAGAATATCTCAGACAACCACGGATTTTAATTTATTTTTGTTAAGATTCTATCAAGACCAAAGCAAGTTATAATAAAAGTTCTGCTATACTAGACAACAAATTATGTGGAAGAGGGAGGACTATTTATACAGTATTGAGGAGTTATCAACAATAAGTAACAGAAATCTTTTTTCACTTAAGTCCAAAAACCATCCTACATCTAAAAATTCTTGCTGAAGGTCAACTCAGGATATGAATCTAATACAAAAACGAAGTATTTACTTTCAGGACTTGCTGTGAAAGTTCCACATAACTTGTCGGTAACAACTCTATCCTTGGCCAACTGTATATACCAAGTGCTATTACACCAAAATATGTTCTAAGACACAGGATTCTAATCTGAGTGGGAAAATGTTTCACACCCAGAGTTTGCATATATTTCAGATTGTATGTATTCTAGCTGATATATTTAGTGCCTATTGACCTGAGTTGGGAATCTGGGTGCTAACAGTTAAAGAAAAGGCTTCAGAGGGCTACCCAAGGTACTCATGCTTGGTGATTACAAACTACAAAAGATCAGAAAGAATGGGTCACAGGAGGCAAAGTTGGACTGGTAAGAAACGCAGAAAAACACTGGACTTTATTACCGACAGATTAGCCCAGTATGAAGAGGAACAAAAACATTCTCTACCATGGTACAAATAAGCTTTTATATTACAAAACTTTTCTCAGTAATTTTACAAATACTCTGGCACCATCTTTAGGATTACTTGAAAAAGGAAGAAAGTTTTTATTTATATAACTTTTAGGACTTCTCTGTAGAAATAAAGAATAAAGAGCATAATGACCTACTATCCCTATATGTCACATTATTTCTGAAGATATTTCTAGAAATATCTGCAAGAGCAGTTATTTTGACCTGTTTAAGTAGCTTTGAAAACAAACCAAAAATTGGGTTGGGGACCTGAATAGATAACCATCTTATCTCTTATTAGAAAAGAAGATAGGTCAGAACAGGGTGATTACTTACGGTATATGCCATGTATTACTGTTTAAAGGGTTAAGATGTCAAAAATTGCTTACATTTTAAAAAGTAGGCATCAAGTTATGTAATGATCAGCAATTTTATTTCTGTCCATTACTATTTCCTAATTGATCAGAGCCCTGCCTATTAAAAAAGATAAGTTAGACAACATCTTTATGAATCAATGGAAAAGGCTAGGTTTGCACCTAGCCTGCTAATAAAAAAACAAAAGCTAGGCTATATTCTTACAACTGATAGAAACTGCAGTATAATCTAGTATAACACCTCACTTTATATATAAATTAAGGTCCAGAGAGTTCAAAGAATTTGTCCAAGATTATACAAATGTATTTTCCATGTTTTAACAAAAAACAAAGTTGAAGGAGCTGTGTCATCAATTAGTAGAACCCAAATATTTCAATCACTGGCCTCAGTTGGCGCTTTTCCACGGTACCATGCTTATGTTGCTTGGCATTTAATCAGTTGTTACAGATTTTAGTTCATCTTGGCTGACCTCTACACATAAACAACTGAAGTTGCTATAAGTTGAAAAAATGATACACAATCAAAAGAGAGATAAAAACAAACAAGAGTGCTCTTCTATCATATTATAGTTCACTCCTCTAAAAGCATAGCAAAAGGGATATTAGGAAAGACACAAGAAAGGTTGGAGTTTTCTTGTTTCCCAAATAAGTATAAGCTTAAAGAAGTTTTTGACCTTCATGTTTTCACATTAAACACGAAATACTTATACTCTATATGTGTACGCCTGAGATTGTAATCAACTGGCTTTATAAACATGTCTTTCTAGCTTATTCATTTACTACCCAAACATCCTAGGTGAAAAGACCTATTTATGACAACACTAACAATACTTTAATGGGCCATGAGGATCACATCTTTACTGCTTATCAATGTAGTTCTGTATCAAAAGATCTTTGAAAAAGCAAAGGGTAGAACAGTACATACCCAGTGAGTTCCTATTTGTGTAAAATAAGGGAGCTATATGTTTATTTCTATCTGCACAGAAAAATACAAGGATATATAAGACATTCCTAGTCGTGTGTAATGATGAGAAAATGAAACAGGCTAGAGTAGGAAAGAAAACTGCTTTTACTATCTTCTCTTTGGTATTGTTGGAATAGTTTTTTACAACGTTCACGAAATAATTTTTCAAGTAAAAAAGGAGATCATTGATACTGATGGATGCTGCTACTATTGCTACCGTAGGACAGTTTGTCCTTTACTACCACACTCAAAGAATTAAGATTCACATAAATGATTAATAAGATTTTAAATATTCAGATTCACTCTAAACAAAAGCTAAAGTTTACTCCCCAATTCTACCTTTACAGTATAAACAAACAACAAAAACATTTCAGAGTTCTTTAACTTTTGAATAAAGACATTCTAATCCTAATGTTTTATTTTCATAAATAACAGCGTTCAACTGTTCGCTGATATTGTTGCTAAAAAGCCTATAAAACATTTCCCATTTTACCCTTCTATAAATAACTGGTAAAATTTTAAGTTCACAAGAAATTTCTACCATATACATTATAGAGATTTCAATGACTCCCATATTTCAACAGAAATAGAAATCAAATACATAAACACAAAGTAGAATTACACTGCTTAAAAAAACCATTAGAAAAGGTAATTCAGTTTTAATTTATTTTCATCACTTTTTCTTCATGATCCAGATATTTTAAAATGCAAAGAAAATTAACTTTCAATGATATGTCAGGGACTGGCACTAAAAAATCTTTTCAGACTGCAAATGAGTTATACAAATGAAAATATCAAATGGAGATCCAGTTATCAAAATGAAAGCACTCAACATATTAAAAGTTCACACATATTTGTATAGAGCACATAAAAAAGTCAGCTTGCTAACCAACTCGTGTGATTTTAAAGAACTATTGCAGAGGTTTGAAGAAAATAGATTTATTAGTTAACTTATAAAGAGATTAAAGAACTTGAAACAAGTATTAAAAAGAAATCTGTGCCTTTATTAGAATGTAGTTAGGCTTTAAATATGGCAATTTTGGTAATCAAATTATCATTTTGTTTTGTTTTTTTAATAAGAAATGACACTACAGAACTGCAATACTGGTCCAACAGTCTTGTCTTTACTTTCCTTTTAAAGCAAGAAACAGAATGCGAGTAATCAGAAAGCATTAGCAGGCATCAGTTAATCCAAGATACTAGCTCTTAATTCCAAAAGCACTTGCAAAGAAAACCTTTTGGGGGAAAGGGGTGGAGGGGGATGGAAGCACTTCATAATAACTGGAATCCTATGAGGGTGTATGCCAAGTCTCATGAGGCTATTTTTTTAATTTATCCTTTGCTTGGTCACTTTTTTTCCCCCTCAAATACTACAGTTTTACTTTGACTTTTTTCCTCAAAGTATAAAAAGTATGAAATATAAACAAGCTCTTGCATTGCACACTTAAAAGTATACAATTCAAGCATTATAGAGCTATCTACACACTGATAAATCCCATCAAATCTTGGATAATTCATTAATATACAAAATATTAGGGCACAGAAAGAACTAAAACCCACTTTTTTGTTACACATAAGATTCAAATATTCAATCTAAAGAAAAACAATCATTTTCACTCTCTTCTACATCTCATGATGATACACTTATTAAAATATTCCTGTATAATAATGTTTGGTCTTACTATTTCAAGTCAGGTTTAAAACCTCAAAACCAGCCATCCAGACAAAACAGGTAATCAGAAAGATTATCTCTTCCCCACCTCCCTAACCCCAAAAACTATGAAGTCAATTTTACGACATGACTCCAAACACTGGATTGTGACGACAAATGCTAGGTCCAATTTCTTCATAATCCTTTTTGGTGTGGCATACTTGGTAGAACTCAGGCTGAAAACAAAAATATATATTTTTATGAAGGTTAAAAATCTATCATCTTTTAGTACACTGTAAGAGATGCTTTAAAAGTAGATGTTAAATCTAAAATGTTTATTAATAGTCCACTGATGTTACTTAAAGCTTAGAAATTCTAGCAGCCATGACTTAAAATCAGCTATAAATCTTTATCAGAACTGGAAAAGAGCATTTACCTCATGTCCTCCCCCTCCTCCTCTCCAACACCTGTTCCCCCTAAGATTTTGAAATTCTGAGGAATAAAAGGTTCTCAAATGTCCAGACTGTATTGCTGAGACTTTCCCACACTTTGCATGGAACCAATAATCTAAAGAAGCCGCATTAGCCTAAGGTACAGATAAACTATTCCTAGTAATGCTGTGACTAATTTTTATCTAGTTCTAAAAATTGCTAGATCATCTGCCTTTCCTCACTCAAGATCTGGTAAAGACAGGCTTCCATGCTCTGTATTACCTCATTTCTCGGGGCAAAGTTACAAACTCAACTACGTTATATGGCACAATTGAAGATGATTAAAATTAAGAAAGAAAATAAATTTTACCTCCCATTTTTAAATGGTTTTAAATTCATTGAAAGTTGTGTAAGTGAATAATTCAGATAAAAGCTCCTTCATTTTAATACTCCATGCATTAACGAGGACAATGCATCAGTATTTACCAGGGTAATGACATTATAACAACCTTTTAAGGGGGCTTTAAAGACGTTTTGATTTGAGTACAGGGTTCTTAGAACAATTCCCTTTACTTAGTTTAGTACATCCTAATTCCTATGCAATGAAACATAACTTTTACCTTAATGTTTTTAAATATTTGCACAGAAAAAACAATGCCCTTCTGATAACTAAATTACCACAGCTTTAAAGAAATTTTCCCTATAGATAAATTTAAAAACATGGTATAAAATGCTCCCTCTAAAATAATGTCTAGTGAGCTAAAACATATATATGAAAATTAAATTCAAATGACTTCCAGTTTTTAAAATACTATGTACATATGTATACAATTTTAAAAGTTTCTTATGCTATATTTTAATAAATTTAAAAGAACATGCTATGTTTTTCTCTAAGTACTGATGGACTCATCTACCTAAAAAAAGAAAAAAAAATCATAATTTAGCCGTAAGATTCATTACACTCACCGTGGAAGCCAGCATTGATCCTCCAAACCAAACTGCGTATCGCTGCATGTGGTGTGTAATGACTTGTACATCAATAGGTTTTGGCTAAAAAACAAACAAAAAAAAAAGACATAGTAAGATCATTTCAGTAGTAAATTCAAAGAGCAATTTGTCATTTAACCTTAAATGTACATACACAAAAATAATATTTACACTAAATACAGGTGACATCTTATAAAACAGAAATAACTGGGAACACTGGAAAAGACAAGGATGAGAGTAGGATAGAATGGAAGGAAGGAAAATAATAACGAGCGCATATTTTATACAGTTCAAATTTTTAGAACCATGCTCATGTTTTACATATTCAAAAACAAATAAAACTTTAAAAGAAGGGGATGTGCATGAAGCAAAACAGAATAGAAATAAATAAACTAATTATATTTTGTGAATACATGACCACACTGAAGTGAGGGAAGAGACTATCCCCAGTCACTTGTGAATACAGTGTTGTGACTCTATGCCCTCAGGCTGAAGATAACAACTATGACAATATTGAACTCTAGTTAGTAGGTCTATTTTTCACAGTGGTATGGATTAACAATTTTGGAACTATTACATACATATTTCAGGATTAAACAAAAACATAAAGCTATTGTGGAACAGGAGCCAGGTTTCTCACCGTCAGAGAAGGGTATTACAAAATGGAAAGGCAGAAAGCTAGAATGAACCCTCTGGTATTCTGGAACTGGAGGCATCACTATAAATTCATGGGTTTTCATTTATACAGAAAACTAGGTATAGATGTGCACACACACATCCCACCTCTGACCACCAAGAAGGCCTAGATATGGTGATATCCCAATAACAATAAGCATACTTAGTGCCCAAAACTTGGTTTCTTCATAACATTCTCCACTAAAAGGAACAAGGGTGTCTTTGGGGGAAAGGGTGGGGGGAAGGAGGAGCTGATTTCAGAACCAGAAAGAAAGTACAAGATCAGCCTGAAACATCTTACTGTACCAGGAAGTAAGGACGTACACAAAGAAGAGTGGGGCTGCATCAAAAAAAAAACCATAAGAGCCACTTGGCTTCCACTGGCCAAGTCTGAAAAAAATCTGAGCATCAAAATTAATGATATTAATGATATTAGTGATATTATGATAGCACAATTATATTAATTATATAGCTCATAAAATAATGAGAAATCAGTTCATACAGATATTACTGAAAGAATGAATGTGGGAGAGGAGGAAACCCTTACAGTAAAATGAAACTAAGACACACTGAAGGAATGATGGAATTTGTAAATATCATTTGGCAACTACCATAATAATTAACTATTTTAGAAAAGAATGACAATGGATGCTAAAACCAGTGGTTAAAAGTTTAATGAGAAAAAAGAGAAAAAAAAGTTTAATGAGAGAAAGGACAGTTACTGAAAGTTTCTCCCCATAAGATTTTTATTAAATATAAAGTAAAAAATAATAACATATATTAAATAAACCTGGCAAACACTTTAACCAAGTGCTCAAAGTTAACATATGGGACAAATCATATCATGCATCTATTGATACAATGCACTAAAAATGATACAGTATTACTTCTGTGGTTATCACTGCCAAAAGAACATAATGAGGACCTAATCATGTAGAAACAACAAACAAACCCAAATTGAAGGACATTTTATAAAATAAATGTCCTGTACTGTTCAAAAATGTTAAGGTCAGGAAAGACAACAAACAATGAGTAACTAACTGTTCCAGATTGAAGGGGCACAATAACTAAATGAAACATGTGATCCTTAACTGGATCCTGGACCAGAAAAAAAATTATTTTGTTTTTCTTTTGCTATAAACAATATCAATGTGAAACAAGTGGTAAGATTTCAGTCAGTTCTACAGCTAGATAACAGTACTGTATCAAGGCTGATTTCAAGATTTTGCTAACTGTAATGTTCTTGTTTTTAAGAAATATATTAAATATTTAGGGGTAATGAACCATCACATTTTCAAATTATTCTGTGTCTGTGTATGCACACGCAAGTGTAGACACACATTTATAGAAACAATGACAAAGCAATGTGGTAAAATACTAACGTTTGGGGAATCTAGGTGAATGGTGTATGAGAATTCCTAGGTTTTGCAACTTTTCTGTAAGTATGAAATTATTTCAAAATAAAAATTTTTACAACTCACATCTCATAAAAAGTTACAACGTACTTTTATTTAAAAAAAAAAAAAGCTGTTTGGCGGCCATCAAAAACTATAGATTAAAGGAGAATAAAGCGAGATATAGATACAGATATGTAAAGACATGAAGATCCTTAAACGTTTCTATCAAGTAAAATTAGAGTGAAGAAGGCAGAGTCCTCCAGAATACAGTTTTTCCTATACATGATGAGCACCCCAAGTCCAAAAATCGAAAATGCTCCAAAATCTGAAACTTTTTCAGTGTTGACATGATGCTCAAAAAAGATATTTATTGGAGCATTTCAGATTTCAGATTTTTGGTTCAGGGATGCTGAACCGGTATATAAAGCAAATATTCCAAAATCCAAAAAAAAATCCATCTGAAACACTTCTGGTCCCAAGCATTTTTGGCAAGGCATACTCAATTTGTATCTTTAGATATGCCAGTACAGTGCTGACATCACTAGGGAAATTCAGTTCTTATTTACAAATGTACAAGAAGCTTGAAAATATGTTAAACATTCCTTTTTTTTTTTTTTTGAGACAGAGTCTCACTGTGTTACCCGGGATAGAGTGCCATGGCGTCAGCTTAGCTCACAGCAACCTCAAACTCCTGGGCTCAAGCAATCCTTCTGCCTCAGCCTCCCGAGTAGCTGGGACTATAGGCATGCGCCACCATGCCCAGCTAATTTTTTCTATATATTTTTAGTTGTCCAATTAATTTCTTTCTATTTTTAGTAGAGACGGGGTCTCGCTCTTGCTCAGGCTGGTCTCGAACTCCTGAGCTCAAACAATCCATCCGCCTCAGCCTCCCAGAGTGCTAGGATTACAGGCGTGAGCCACCGCGCCTGGCCTAAACCTTCTTACTTTATTAAAATACTATACACAAAAACATACAGCATTGTTTTCTTCATTTGATCTATCTATAATAAGTCATTAAAAACAACTTATATCTACAACCAGACTATTAAGACAATTAATTCACTTTAATCTTTTAAGTGTTCTAACAAAGAACTGAAAAAACTCACAACATCCACCACGTTCACATAATCAACACAATTAGTGTTATTCCCAGTACAGAGAATTTAAAATTGCACTTGTTAAACCCACTGACTTTCTTTTTTAGGTAGATAGGTAGGTGGATAGGCATGTGAATAGGTGGGTGGGTGGGTAGGTAGATGGATGGATGGGTGGGTGAGCTGGTTGAGAAAGGGGTGCAAAAACAAAGGCAACATTTTAAAACTCTGTTACCTGAGCAGACTGCCTCAAGTGTGAAGTCATGCCATTATGCATACAGCTCGATAATACTTTGCCTCCCACCCAAAACATACACTTTCATACTACACTTCTAGGAATAGATTTATTTAAGATAACAGTCACCTGTCATGCAATTTCTCAACAAGCAGCAAACTCAAAAGTGTTATACTTTAACTTTGAGGTAATTTTGAATAATTGTGGTAGTCTCAGATGGAGCTCTGATTCTTGGTAATTTTCTAAGAAGAATGACATGTGTTTTATTTAGCAAGTTAGTCTCTGAATCAATGTTTTGTTTCAATATTTAACAAGGACGAAAAAATATTTACTGAAAATTTGTCTCATAGATACAGAAAGCAGATATAAGAGAATTTAAAATTAATTTTGATTTTTTGACATCAAGCCCAAAGGTCCAGGGCATGTAAAAGAAAGGCTGCTTTGTTAAACCACCAATTTGCACACATGAAGCTGCTACGTGGGAGCTAGAGTCAGTTTTTGAAAGCAGGCTTGACCACTCAACATCAGTGTCTCTCTCAATTCTGCTTTGTTGTCCTTCTATAGTGGTATTTAAAATTTTGTGGATCCATAATGAATCTTATTGCTGGAATATGCAAAGAAATCTACTATATAGATCATTTTGAGAGATGTCAAAAAAATCTTTCTCACCACTATACTAACAATTATTTTCCAGAAATGCAGACAATATCCTACAAGAATCAAATGACCCAGAATATTATAGACATGAACCTATAAAATTAACTACTTTCCACTACAATACCTGATAGGTTCCTTTGCTCTTCCTAAATAAGAGCAAATGTTGGCGAACATTTCCCATCTCCATTATAATAATCCAGGCACCCTTAACCTTCCCACCAATAAATGAGAAAACCAACCTTCAATCTACCACCACTCAATTCCTCACTTAATTTCAGCCTGGCATCTACAGTTCTTTTCAAATCTCTTTGCAAGCGACGTCCAAAGTCTCTGAACATGGTTGAACCTCCAGAGAGGACAATATTCTGTATTAGTGGAAATAAATAAATAAATATGACATTTATTTAAAAAGAAAGAAAAATTTAAAGACACAATAAACAATACTAAAATTCTATTAAATCCTTTTTAAGAGAAATGTTTAATTTGACAATGTTTAATTTTAACAATGGACAGAAAATAAAGTTTTTTAAAAGTATAACCTTGAATAACAATTTTGCTATAAATACTGACCTTGTAGAGGGGACGTCTGACATCAATAGGACAATTCTGAATTACTTCATCTACAACTTCTGAGATAGGTTGTGTGAAGTCTGGATTGGCAAACTGAAAAATAAGTCAAGTTGGATTTATGTTAGAGATCAGATCACTGCTGATGTAAATACAACAAAAAGTTAAGAAAAAGTGTTTTCAGTTTAAAAACAAGAGAACTTTTAGAAACTATAAATGCTGGTCTCTAACACATTCAAATTAAAGACACTGAAATCAGAGATTTCAGAAGAAATTCAAACAAAATTACAATGATACATACCATTTCATAACCATCAGAATAGCAAACATGTAAAGTCACATATATACTATGAGCTGGTAAAAATCTGGGTAAATGGGAACTCCTGTTAATTGATAATGAGGGTATACATCGAAGTATCACTTCAAAGAACAATTTGGCAATACCCAATAAAATTTTTAATGCACATACTACTAACTCCACTTCTTAGAACACACCCTGAAGAAATATCTGCCACAGCCTGTAGATAAAAGCAAAAATAACCCATAAATCCATCAATAAGGAATGAAATAAATAAATGTTATGTAGTTTATCCTCATTATTCATGAATGCCATATTTGCAAATCTGCCTACTTGTCAAAACTTATTTATAACCCCAAAATCAACATGCAGTCATTGATGTACATGTACCTGTGTAGAGCAATGAAAATTTGAGTCTACCGATGTGCACATTCCCAGTTGAGGTTGAATATGGTGACACCCTGCCTTCTTGTTTCAGCTCTCATATTGTAAATAAGTGCCCTTTTCACAGTCTATTTAGTGCCACAGTTTTCACATTTTTTTTGTGGTTTCACTGTTTAAAATGATTCCCAAGCATAGTGATGAAGTGCTGTCTAGAGTTCCTAAGCACAATAAGGCCATGATGTGTCTTACAGAGAAAATGCAAAGTTATCTTATAAATAGCTTTCTTCAGGCATTGTTCTAGTGCTTTGGCTGTTGGTTCAATGCTAATAAATGAATGATACATACTAAATAAATTGCTTTTAAAACAGAAACACACATAAAACAAGGTTATGCATTAATGGGATGACTAAAATGTGGCCAGAGGCTCGCAGAAATCTAACCCTGTATTTCACCAGGAGCAATGGTACAGTATTCACTAATTCAGTGTTCTTGAGGACTTTATGGAATATCTACTTTCAATGATGAGAGACTCAACTGTACATTCATGATGACATACCACAGTCTAAATAAACATACATATTTTCAAATAGGTGATACTCAAAAGAAAACTCATTTTTAAAAAACTAACTTTAAAAAACCTTGAATGATTCCACCTATTTTAATCTTTGAAAATATATACTTTTTGGATACATGTAAAAACATGGACCATATATACATCAAATTCACATTAGTAAATTTTCTTCTTCCTCAAGAGAAAGGAGGAGAAAGAATGAAAAGGAAGTAGAAAAAGGAAAGGGTCTGGGGATACTACTATTTCTTAAAAACAGAAAAACTCATTAACAAGAAATATGAAAATATTAGCATGTGCTTACTTGTCATGTAGGTACATATGTGTTCTATAGCATACTTTCAATTTTTTTGTTTGTTTGTTTGTTTTGAGACAGACTCTCGCTCTGTTGCCCCCCGGGTAGAGTGCAGTGGTGTCATCATAGCTCACTGCAACCTCAAACTCCTGGGCTCAAGCGATCCTCCTGCCTCAGCCTCCCAAGTAGCTGGGACTACAAGTGTATACCACCACTTCCAGCTAATTTTTCTGTTTTTAGTAGAGACAGGGTCTTGCTCTTGCTCAGGCTGCTCTTGAACTCCTGAGCGCAAGCAATCTTCCTGCCTTGGCCTCCCAAAATGCTAGGATTACAGACGTAAGCCACTACGTCCAGCCAAAATATTTTTTTTAAACAGATTGTTTAGGTAGGTAGATTTGAGATAGAAAGTTATTTGACAGTTAAAAGCACTATGGAATGGACATAAAAACAATATTAATGGACATTAATATTTACAATAAAGAGGTCTTATACACAGAGAAATAATATTAGAGAAGGCCTCCTTTCTTCCCGATCATTTATTTTTATGTGCACACGTATGCCTCTCCTAAACCATACTGAAATATTTCCTGAGAGTAACTACAAAAGAGGAAAACATTGAAAAGTTTTCAAATGCTAGATCTGAGAATTAAACTTAAATTCTGAAACAAAGATCTCACTTTACTAGTAGCTTCCAAACATATATGTAAGTTGCCATGCATTGCTCTTTATAATTGAAAAGGAAATTCTAGTGGGCTTTTTCCTAGTATAAAAATGAAAGTTCAAAATCTAGCTCTAATTAGTCAAAAATAAAGTGTAGTTTATTAAAATGAATAAAACTTAAAATAGTGTCTACATCTCTCAGCCTCTCATTTTTATTGTCTCGCCCTAATGGGAGAGACAATATTCCGTTGTTTATTAAACTGATTCTATAAATGTATTGATAATTATTATAGACATGTGTCAATTTTTTCCAGTTTTTAAGATTAGTTTTAAATTAGTTAGAGCCTTTGCATACAATGTTACCAAAGCGAAGACTAATGATATAAAATCTTTTAATTTAGATGAAGCAAAATATCACTATTCTACTAACATCTATTACCATTTAAAAGAAAAGAAACTGGCAGCCAAAATCTATCTTTCTATCTTTTTGAAGCATGCTAAGGAGTGAGGGATATACAGTGGTATGGAAGTGTGGCTCATACTGAGCCTGGATAGCCCAACCTACAGACTAGGGTATGTCTTATCTGTCAGGGATACGGCAGAACAATATAGCTTAACTCAGCTGGCTCTACAGGTCATTTAAAAACAAGCTCATGTGCAGGCAGAGAATGGTTTAGTTACAGATTAAGTGGAAAAGCAGAACTGGAATCCTAAAAAATTTATTTTCCATGATTACATTCATGATCGTATACAACCTTTCATGGCTTTAGACTGTGAAATCTCTAAAGAGCCTTTAATTCTCAAAATATTATGTGTTTATGATCCCATAGTGACACTTAAACCTGAGAATCTGTCATTTGCTCTAACTATAAAAAAAAAAAGAGATTTAATTTCCCCCAAATCTGGACAGAGAATATTAACAATTTGATAATAATGTGTTCTATAACATTCATTTTTAAAAATGTTATCTAATCAACTGTTAATGTAGAACGTGTAAAATCTCTGTATTGTTCTTTGTTGGCCATACTCCAGTATTTACCTAAAATAATAACACATACAAATAAGCCTTCCCATAATCCTTCTCCTACCTATATGATAATTTATCTGCTACACCATGAGTAAGTAAAAGGAAGGAAAAGGGTCATTCATTCCTGTATCTGTGTCCTTTTCACAGTAGTTGTTAATTACCAATGCACAAAAAGAAATTTACAGAACCTTTAAATATTTGCACACTCTGGATCCACCACAGAAATTCTGATTTAGAAAGAAATGAAGTCTGACTTAAGCATATATTTGGAAAAAGTATAAGGACCACTGTGCAGCAGAACCCCAAGTGAGAACCAGGTGAAGAATATGTAGTAAAGCAGCAAGCAATTAATATTTAGTAAATAAATTAAGAAAAAAAGAATTAACAATAAACAAATTAACAATAAATTGATAGAGATTATTTAATACTTTAATAATAATAGGTTCAATCTAGGGTCCCTAATAATATTTTTAGGCCTTTTCTTTCACTTTTAGAAAAAGGGTCAGTCTTGCCTCTAACTACTCCCTGATCTGAAGATTACTGATACTGAGAACATTAGAAGAGACTAACAAGGAAGCCTCTCTATCTTTTCTGTCCTCTAAAAAATGTAAGGAGTAGCAAATATACACAAGTAAACATAGTCCCAATCTTTCCTGTATCTGGAAATTTACTATACAAGCTTTAAAAACGTAGGATGGCTTGTCAGAAAATTTAATTTCCTTTAAAAAAAAAAAATGTACAAGCCAAACCCACACCTTCTAAAAAAACTCTTTCCAGTATTTGTGATGAACTTAACCGTACAAAAATAAATTTCCTGCCTGTTTCATACATTTTATCTTCAGTATTCAAGTACTGGACGGTTCAAATGTCCACAATTTCATCTTGCCAGAACAAAACACTAAGTGAATCCTTCAAATGCCAGAGGAACTAGGACACCAAAGTATCTAAAATTACAAGAAAAAAAAAAGAATCTTAAAATCCACTTGGGAAGCGACACAGTTCAAATAATACAAAAAACAGGTCTATTCTGAGAAAACATGGTGAACTAAAACACCATACCCAATTTTGTTCTCTCTCAAAACTCTACTGAAAGCACCAGTAAAGATAATTTTTAAAAAGGCATAATTCAAAAAGTAGAGAGAAAAGGAAAATCAGCAATGAAATTTGGCAAGCTAGTAAGCAGATGGACAAGACTTTGCAGATACACCAAAACACTTAAGTCCTGAGTGATACAAACCAAGTCAAGAACCAAGGTATTTTATATCACAAATCCCCCAAAGAACTAACTGCCCCTGGCAGCTTTGAAATTGAGGTAGAAGGATGGCAAACTGGTTGAAAGTCCCTCTGAGAGGCTATTAAAGCCCCAGATCCTCTCTCCAAAGAAGTCCATCAAATGCCTCCTCCTCGTCCAAGGAGAAAAGTAGATAATCTATTCTCTTAAGAGAAGAAAACAGAGTTTCCAGGACTCTTCCACACATCTGAAAGTACTGAAACGGGGATTTTTTAAGTGAAGGTATACAGCCTGCTGCTTACACACACTCATGCTAGTCCTCTTCCCCCATATGGCTGTCAGCCTTTACCCAGCAGGCAGGAGTCTTCTCTGGGAACTGGACTACTCAAAAAGACATAAAGAAACACACATAGATACTGACCTGGCAAGGGAGATAACACAATCACAAAGCAACGTACATAGGGCAGTCCCAAAAAGAAAAGGACACAGTCAATAAGCCCCACCCACAAAGCTCAGATTTCCCATCAGGTTTTTAGTGTTCCCTTCTTAAATGACTGGTCTGCAAAAGACTCTAGCATGAAAAATATATGAATTGAAACAGAGAAAAAGTAACTTGGAAGAGACTATGCAGAAAAAAAGAAAACTTAAAAAAATTTAAAAAAAAAACAACATATGATTAATATCCTCAGAAAGTCAGAAAATAGGCAACAATGAAATATGATAAGGCAGAATAAAAAAGGAATATTCAAAAAATGAGGGTGGTGGAAGCTAACAAGTAAAAATGTTACCAAAAATAAAAAATTCAACAGAAGGCTCAGTAAGTAAAGTTGAAGAAATCACCTAGAGATTAGAACAAAAAGGCAAAGAACACAGAGAACGTATCAGAATGCTAGGGAACAAAGTAAAGATTCTATAAAGCCTCTGTAGAAGAGAAAAAACAAAACAGGTCTTATACGTAGAAATCAGGGGGTTTTTTACCTCAAGTTATAATGGAAAGCAATTAAGCAAGGTTTCATAATGCTGAAAGAAAAATAATTTCCAAACTAGAATTCTACACCCAAACTATCAAACACTGTGAGGATAAAATGAATACACTTCAGACATGTAAGGTCTTAAATTTTTCCTCTCTCATGCACCCTTTATCAGGAACCCTATTAACTATTAGCAGACGATCTCCACCAAAATAAGTAAGTGGACAATAAGAATGAAAGAGACATAGGATATAGGAAAAAGGGATCCAACACAAGAGAGAGGCAAAGGGAATCCCTGGAATGATAATAAAGGAAAGTGGCACCTCTAGAAGGTGCCACCTCAGAAGAAAGCAGGCTCAGACTGGAACATGCTAGATGCTCCAGAAATTTAAACTGATGAAAAAACCCCATGCATCTGAATAAAACTAGTGGAAAGAGTTTGGAGGTAAATTAATAATTATTTTAAAACAAAGCAAACAACTTATTAATGATCCCAAGGAAAACAAAGTTCAAGGACAGGAAAAGACTTCATGGTTAACTACATGGCTCAAAACTGAACAAAATTTGTGGTCACAAAAATAAAGCACTGAATTGCAATCCACCTGAAATTATAATGTGACTATTGGGATGAAAAGGGATTGGAAGGTACGGTCTGTGGTGGGAACAAAAGAAAGATAAAAAAGGCAATCCTCCCTCTTAAATTTGAAGTTGCAACATAACCAAGTAATTCATAGCTATGGAAGCAATCAGCAAAAGAATCCACTAAAACGAGTTTCAAGTAGTTATCTCTAGGAATAGAAAACAGAGAGAAACATGCAGGACACTCCTAGTTTTTGTTAGAATTTGTAGAATCCTATTAAACGATATGCATATATATAAGTCATTTTTAAAAACAACTTTTAAAGAAAAGAAAACAAAACAGATTTCTCATAGAAGAAATTACTTAGAAGGAACATAAAGCCATGGAGAGTAAAAGTAAAAGATGTTTAAAGTTTAAAAAATTAATTTAAAAAATTGGTATATCAAACAGTAAGGGTTATATAAATTAATGGAAAAAATGATATATGAAACATTACCAAGATATATTTTCATCCAGCCAACTATCCCTTGCCTAAGCAATATAACACAACCCAAACACATTTTATTTACACATCTAATGGTTCAAGGTTTCTAAGACAGCCAAGACATTAGCTTAGCTCATTTGTGAAGAGTATTCCACTCAAATGCATCCTCCTTTGAAGCCCAGATATCTGTATCTTCCATGCTATTATCTAGCTTGTGGTCATGATCCTATTCATCTGCAACTTTGGTTCAGGATCTTCCATAATTCTCTAATTCCTATCCTCCAAATGGCGTTTCAGAAACAAATGAAGAAACAAAGCAAAAGTTTAGGAAAAGCTAAATTTTAAGAGAAAAAGAAATAATCACATTACACTACTTGCCTCAAAAGTGAACAACAGTCATAGGTAGAATACTATAAATATTATAATACCACTGATTTACCTAATAACAATAACCTAATATATGGGCAGGCTAGGGGAAAAGAGAGGCTAGAAAAAAATTAAAAGGAGACTAGCAGATAAACTATTAACACTGACATATTAAGAAACAGCAATACCATCACAGTCCTTAGAAACCTGAAGATGATTACCAAGAACAATGGCTAAGTAAGAGCTAGCAGTTTGCTCTGCAGGACACAAAGACTGCAGAGGGTGAGGAGCTGCCAATTTTGTTTTAAGCCTGTCAGTGTTATATGACCTTTAAAACTGTGTATATACTTCTAATTTTTATTTTTTAAAAAATTGCAAAGACAATGTGCCATCCCAAACCTTCAAACTCTGGTATATTGGTCTGACAACAACTCCTTATCCTGTTGGTGTTCACTCCTTTGCTACCAATTTACAGTTATATGCCAATTTATCATGATCTCCGATTCCTGTCTCCATCCCTCACTATCACTAAGTAATTTGACCTCTGGACTTACTCTCTCCTCTACGTAACCTCTGTCTTGTCAAAACCTTTTGCTCCTTTCCCCCAACTGTCTGGGAGAAAAAACACTATTATTCTACTAAAAGTTTTGGGTATTTAACCTCACTACTCTGGGCAGAGAATGGGTGCCCCACTACTATTAATATGTGCTATCTAGTTACCCTCTCAATTCCCCTCAGTAGTATCATGAAAGTAATTATTCTCTATAAGACCTCAACTTTATGTTTAATTCCCTTCCCCCAACATATCAGTTTCATTCCTTTAAGAAAAAACATTAAAATATGTAATATGATGATGAACTTCCTCAACTAGCTACCTGCTTCTCTACCCTTCCCAGTTCCACAATTTCTTGTACCCATATTTACCTCCTTCCCTCCTGTCACTTGAGTAACCCTCTTAATTAAAATTATCCTCAGCCTTATTCTTGCAGTTGACTTCTTACCAGTCTCCAGTAGCAACTATCCTTTTCTTTCACAGCCACCTCCACTACCAATTTCTAAGCCTTCACTTCTCACTGATGGAACAGGATGCCTCTAACACACCATTCCACTGCAATTGCTTCCTTAGGACCACCAATAACCTGATGTTGAAAAACCCACAAGTACTTCTCAGGTCTCTAATGTTACTTTACTGCAGTAACCGGCATTTTTTAAGCTCCCTCCCTGAAACATTCACTTCTCTCAATTTTATGACCATACTCCTTGGGCTTGGCTTCTACCTCTCTGTAATCTTCAGTATTCTTTGCAGGTCCCTCGTACCCTGAACATTGTCCATAAAGCGTTTGTATTCACTTAGGGCCCTAATCTTCACCTTTCTACTCCACAGCCTCTCCTCTGACAAGTTCTTCTTCCTTTGCCCCACATATGGTGATGCCTTCACACCTATCTTCACTCCAGGACACCCACCCCAGTTTGAACCCAATTGTTTTTGAACATTTTTATAAGATGCATAAAATAAACTCACGTGTTTCTATCTCACCTACTCCTCCCTTTCATTATTCCTACTTTCAATGAATGGCACTTACCACAGATTCTTCATATTCATACTCTTCTCACATCTAAGCAATTACTAAGTCATGTTGGCTCTTTTTCTCTTACCTCCTTTCTCATTCTCATTGACCTATAGACATTCATCTTTCACCTGAAAAACTGCCATAAACTCACCTGTTTCCATCCATTCAACCCAGTGCTGCCAGAGTAACTTTTCTAATACCATACATAAATCTGTGTCACTTCCATGTTGAAAATGTCTGCATGACTACAGAATCCAGCAAACTCCCTTGTATAGCATATTTGTCCCATAAGACCTAGTCCATGAATATCTACACGGATCCATCTCCTACCACTCTCTTCTTTATACTTTTATTATCTAGCTTTCTCGTGTCTAAGACCTCTGCCCAACTTATCTCCTCTGCCAAAAATATACTCTCCTAACACAGCTGACTGACAAATAAATACCCTTTCATCCTTTAAGGCTCAGCCCAACTGAGATGTTTCCCCAGTTCTTCCAAGCAGACTTAGATATTCTTTGTTCGTATGCCCTCGCCAAATATATGCATTCATTAAAGGACCTATACCTGTTTAAATATTATCTCTCTTATTCTTTGAGCTCAACAAGAGCAAGATAAAATAATTTTTCATTTTTGAATACCCAATGCTTTGAGGCCACAAAAATCATCCACTTAACATTTGCTGAGTGAATAAGATTTAAAAATAACCATTCCTAATGATGAATAGGCATAGTAGGTATTTAATGTTAGTAATTCTATTAATAAAGTTAAATTTCTGACACTAAGTTACTAGAAGAATTTTTCATTATTAAAAATTTCAATAATTTAAAACAATTTATACTATTAAAATTTCACAGAGACAAAAAGCTATTTTGCTACCAGTTAAATATTTTGATAGTCAATTGAAGGTTATTTGTATAATGGTCATTTTATACAAGTGGGGGAGGTGGGTTTAAGCACCTTGCTCAAAATATTTTATTTGAATGATCATAAATTTTAAGGGCTTCACCTAGGTCCCATGATTCCCTCATAAGCCACAAATATTAAAGAGACAGAAGTTATTTTTCTACATGTATGAAAAACATAACAATTTAGCCTATTTTAACAAAAGCAACTTTTTCTTAAAAAATGACTTCCTCTAGTATTTTAATACACCAAAGAAAGTTTCTGAGATTAAGTCTCTCTAAATATCTACCTTCTAGTTTGTATTTTCTGTCGGATATTTCGAAACAATTCTATGGGAGGGAGAAAAAAACAAAACTTACCTCTGGATGAAAAAAGATTTCAGGTCCCAAAAATCTCTCATAACCAACATCAATGGAAAATTCTTTCTTTGAGATAGCATTGATTCCAGTATACTGTTTAATCCACTTTGACCCATCTGTGTCATACTTGTTAAATTCTTTTACTAAATCTGGGCAGACGTAACTATAGCGCTCCTAAAAAACAAAAAGAACAAAAGTAGCTTTTCTTCCTGTTTTAGGGAAAGTAAAAAAGGATGTCATATTTTCAGTAAACTAAAATCAAATGAAAAAAGTATCTTCAGAAAATAAAATTAGGAAATTAAGCTGAAAGAAAAATTTATGTTAAGATATTATATACATAGTACAAATAAACAGCTCATCTCCTTCAAGTATTTTCTTCATAGATAAACAGAATTAAGATCTGAGAGACTAAAGAGTCAATTTCTGCTATTTTAATGTTATTTTCTAAAATATTCATTAATTTCATCCAACATTTTGTTTCAGTAATAATAAATATTGTGATCTAGAAAGGAGAAAAAGTACACACAGAACGGCAGAATAAACAATAATTGCTATGACCACACAAATCATCTAGATCCCTAATACCTATCTGAAACAAAACTGAATATAGTCTGAGTAAATGAGCAAAGAAAGAAGTCTGAAACATAAACTACTTTATTTTGTTGCATATTTGGTTATAAGACCTACGTAAAAGTTTTCATCAAAAACATAACTGAAAAATGTTATAGGTTACAACATCCTATTTGTAATTTATGGACTCCTGACGACCAGCCTCATATTTACCTTTTTGAGAAAAGCATACTTTCCCCATATTTTTACACATCAAGCACTCTATCCAAGATAGCTACAAATATTATTATTGATGATAAAAATAGATAAAGGGAAAAAATACTAGACATGAAGAACATTTCATTATGTTATTTGAGGTCTTCTTTCTCCAAACTTTAGAAATGGGAATTACATAGAAATGGTGTTCCTTAAAAGACATTATAAAACTGAGCATCAGTCTTCCCTGGAATAGATTTAAATTCCCAGTGCTTTTTTGTTCTGTTTTAATTTCACAAATTTTCCAAAGATGTTCAAATAGTAGTAGTCACATTAACTTTTTACATATTTAATTTTTATGCCACAAACTTGTGGTAACTCTTGGCCTCCATTTCGCACTTTCTTTACTACCTAAGAAATAGTTGATTCGTTTTCATTTCCAACTTTTGAAGGGCAATGGAAGTCCTACAAATATGCAAGAAGAGGCAAATAAATTAAAGTTATTTTTGCCAAGGTAGTTCTACTTTTCAAAACATGTGAGAGACCCACTGAAATTTTTTAGTTATGCTGGCAAATAATAAATTTAAAAAGCAATACTAAGCATTTTGATAGTTTCCACAAAGTAGTGCAATAAAGACTCATATGGCAGAAAAATTAATAAAATATTTTACATAGCCTTCACATTTTTCTTCTATGTGTCATATCACTTGAGCCAGATACTGCCTCTATACTATAGCACAATCAATTAATTACATCAAAATAATTTTTACAACAAACTGTTAGTATTAAAATAAAGAATTCAGTGAAGAAACTGAGATGCAAAAACTCCATAGTGAAATATTTATTCCTAATAAGGGAATAATCACAAAAATTATGTTACAGTAATATGGTAAAGTGTTCTTCTATGTTAGTCCTCTCAAGTGTAAAACAGAGAAAATAGGCAAAGGGTTGATAATCTCAATAATTTTCTTGTAAGAATTACAGAGAAAACGTACATATAATTAAGAGTAATGATTTATAAATGGTTCACAAGATTATTTTAAGTATTACTCTTCACATAAGAATTTTACATGTACATGTTATAAATGTGATTTTAATTTTTAACTAAATTACACTTCTCTTCCATCACTGCTTTTTACCTTTACTGCCTTAGCTGTTTCCAGGGATTGTTCTGGAGGTATTCCTACTTCTCGGTCTCTCAGCAGTTGTTGAATAAAATATGTTATATCTCGTCCTGCAATTGGAATGTGTTTAATACAGCTGCCAATCACATACCCTTCCGCCTAGATGGGAGGGAAAAAAAGGTGTGAAATTTACTTGCAGTGTTTTGAAAATTAAGAAAACCTAAAAAAATGAACCACTAAAGACCAATTTCTCAAGTTAGTGTATTTATATTCTGAAGTATTGCTTTACGCCAGGAGAATTAATCTTTATTCCTCAATTGTATTCCTCATACTGTATGTTATCGTAGAATTTAAAATACTGCACAAAAATTATGAACAAGAACGACCACCAACTTAAAATTTATTCCTCCATTAACAGTTTATAACTGACTAAAATGACCCAACAACACAAATGATGAATTTCAAAAGTATCAAATGATTTAGACAGCAGACTTTACATCAGAGAGGGTATTATTTTTAAATCGTTTATAATTTCAGTAAAAAATTTAGACTGCATTGTAGAAAATTTGATCATTAACTCGCAAAGTGGCCATCATTTTCCTAATGAAGTAAGGGCCCATTTCAAAAGCCTGTGGCCTTCCATGCACCATAATGCCAAATAACTAAATTCTATAGAATAGATTCATAAATTTACTGATAAAGGTCAGAAGTATAACAAATAATATAGCAAAATTAAATTTCATTAAGAAAGAATATTAAAGACATCTTCATCTGGCCATGAAAGAATACTTGGGATTGATTGGACTTACCTTCTCAACTTAAAGCAAAAAAAGGAAAAATCATATGAAATAAAATTTTCAGCAAAGTAGGGCAGTGATCCTTTCTAAGAAAAAGGAAATAAATAAGGTGACTGCTGCCAACACCCTATCTCACCATCTGGGGAGAGTTACCAGGCAGCAATAATGGGAAGGAGCACCCAAACAGAGCCTGGTGGTCTCATCAAGTAGAATTTAGAGTTCAGAAAGACTAAAGTGACTCAAGTTTATAGGCCGCAGTGCTGGAGGGGAAGGAGCTTTTTTTTTTTTTTGAGACAGAGTCTCACTCTTGCCCAGGCTAGAGTGCCGTGGCATCAGACCAGCTCACAGGAGCCTCAAACTCCTGGTCTCAAGTGATCCTTCTGCCTCAGCCTCCCAAGTAGCTGGGACTACAGACAGGCATGCGCCACCATGCCCAGCTAATTTTTTCTATGTATTTTTGGTTGTTCAGCTAATTTCTTTCTATTTTTAGTAGAGATGGGGTCTCATTCTTGCTCAGGCTGGTCTCAAACTCCTGAGCTCAAACTCCTGACCTCAAACGATCCGCCTGCCTCAGCCTCCCAGAGTGCTAGGATTACAGGTGTGAGCCGCCACGCCTGGCCTGGAGGGGAAGGAGCTTTATAGACCGAGAGCTCTGGAGATGTGAAGACAGTTATCTACTTAGCTGGCTACTCATCAGCACATTCATGTCAGGAAATCATCAAGGCCACAGAAAAAACCTCTAGAAAAAAGTAGACAGAATAATCTCCAGAGCTCACACATGGCCAGAAACAGTTCATGTTCCCATCAGCCAGAGTTGAAAGATGTTCTCAAACACAATACATGAAAGAGTTGTCAGAAGAATATTGCCTCAATAGTAGGGACAAACGAGCCATAGACAAAAGCCTATTCTGGACCTGCGTAATAACATTTAAAAGGAGTCTCTGAGAGGATCAAACTGATTCCTAACAACTTAACTGTGTCGTAGGGAAAAAAAAAAAAAAAAAAAACCTAAAATATTTGAAGGACTCAAAAAATCCAGGACACAACAATGTAAATACATAGTACCAAATCAAAAATTATAAGCATGCAAGGAAGCAGGAAAACACAACCTTGACCAGGAGAAAAAAACAATCAATAAAGAAAGAGAAATGACAAAAATGATAGAATTAGTAGATAAGAATATTTAAGCAGTAACTATATACTCCACATGATCAAGAGGGTCAATGAGCATGAGGAAGGAAGAAATGAAAGATATAAAAAGACACAAATAAAACTTCTAAGCAGAAAAATACAGTATCTGGGGAAAAAAAAGGTAGATCGAGATTACAGCAGATTAGACAATGAAGAAAAAAAGAATAGTAAATTTGAAGACACAGCAATAAAAACTATCCAAAGTGAAAAAGGAAAAAGAAATAGGAAAAAATATGAACAGAGCATCAGTGAACTATGAAATGCTGTCAAGCAGCCTAATATACATGTTATTGGAGTCCCAAAATATAAGGAGGAAAATGAGGGACAGAAAAAATATGTAATGAAATAATGGACAAAAACTTTCCAGAGATGATGAAAACTACAAATCCATATATCCAAGAAGCTCAATGAACCCCGAGGAGAAGAAACGTGAAGAAACCTTTAGGTATGTCACGATCAAAGTGCTGAAAACCAATGAACCTGGAATAAAGAGAAAATCTTGAAGGCAGCCAAACAGATAAGAAACATACAACAGAACAAATGCAGAAATTATAGCTGACTTATTTTCAGAAACAATGTAAGCCAGGGGACAACAGAGTGACATCTAAAAGAAGAAAAAAAACTCAAAAAACAAACAAAAAAAGCTGTCTACCTAAAATTCTATACCAAGCAAAAATAACTTTCAAACATGAAGAAGAATAAAGACTTTTTCAAGAAGTGTACAAAAGTTGAAAAAATTCGTAGCCAGGAGACCAGCACTGTAAGAAATGCTAAAGGATATCATTTAGACAAACAGAAGGAAAATGATACTAGATAGAAATCTAGATTTTCAGAAAGGAATAAGAGTACCAGAATGTGAGTAAATGGTATGTGAGTAAATATAAAATAGTTTTATCTCTTTTTCAAAATCTCTTTTAAAGATGACTGACTCCTTATTATTAACTAAATTATGTCTTTTCTCCCCCCAATCCAAATTTATATGTTGAAGGCCTAACCCCTAGTATCTCAGAATGTCACTGTATTTGGAGATAGGGTCTGTAAGGAGGTAATTAAGTTAAAATGATGTCAGTAGAGTCATTTCCCCTAATCCAGAATGACTGGTGTCCTTATAAGAAAAGATTAGGGCACAGGCACGTGTACAGGGGGAAAATCATGTGAAGATACAGAAAGAAGATGGTCATCTAAAAGCCAAGGAGAGAGTCTCAGAAGAACCAACTTTGCCAAAACCTTGATCTTTGACTTTTTTTTTTGAGACAGAGTCTCACTCTATCACTGGGTAGAATGCAGTGGCGTCATCATGGCTCACTGCAACCTCAAACTCCTGAGCTCAAGTGATCCTCCCGCCTCAGCCTCCCAAATAGCTGGGACTACAAGTGTGTACCACCACTCCCAGCTAATTTTTCTGTTTTTAGTAGAAACAGGGTCTTGCTCTTGCTGAGGCTGGTTTCAAACTCCTGCCTCAGCCTCCCATAGTGTTAGGATTACAAGCGTGAGCCACCGCACCGGGCCTGATCTTTGACTTTTAACCTCTAGACCTGAGAGAAAATAAATCGTTTAGGCACCCAGTCTGCGGTACTTTATTATGGCAGTTCTAGCAAGCTAATACACTACTTACAATGAAACAAATTAATGTATTATTTAGTTTATAACACATAAAAGCAAAATGAATGGCAATGACAGCACAAAGGCTAGAAAGGAAGCATACTATTGTATAATTCTTATTTATGAAGTGGTAAAATGTTATTTGCAGTTATATGGTGAAAAGTTAAAGATGTTTACTATAAATTGTGAGCAACCACCACCAAAATATAAGCAAATGACAACAGCAAAGAGGTACAGCATAGCAAATAAGTCAACAAAGAAGATAAAATAGAATAAAAAATACTCCATTAATTCGAAAGAAGGTGAGAAAACAATGAAGAAGAATACCCATTCTTAATAATTTTACTAAAATTTATTGTTTTTCATGTTGATAACTTCTATTTGCAAATTACCTATTCTAATTTTAATTACCAAGATACTGATATTACTGCTGAGTTGTACAGATGTTCAGAAAAGACTGAAGTCAGACAGAACCAGTTTGAATCCTAGCCTTACAACCTATTATTTGGTGACCATAGGCAAGTCACTTATTTGTATTTTATTAATGAGTAAACTAAGGTACTCAAAGAATAATATAATCTTTATCACAGACTGATTTTCAGGTTTAAATTTGAATTTTAAGATGAACAATTACTTTGTGTACCACTAAGAAAAATAAGCTGCCGATCAAACTATAAAAAGCTATCAAATACTGGGCACATCTTAATTTCCAAGATTAATATACCTCCCAAGGACTGAATAAAATGTGGTTTATCCATATAATGAAATATTATTTGGCAATAAAATGAAATGAAGCACTATAAATGCTATAACATGGATGAATCTTGAAAACAGTAGGCTAAGTGAAAGCGGCCAGTCACAAAAGACCACATAGTGTATGATTCCATTTATATAAAGTGGCCAGAATAGGCAAATCTATATAAACAGAAAGAAGATTAGCGGTTGCCAGGGGCTGAAGGTATCAAGGAGAAATGGGGAGTGACTGCTAATGGATACAGAGTTTCTTTTTAGGTGATGAAAATGTTCTAAAATTGATTGTGGAGATGCATGTACTCTGTGAATATACTAAAAACCAATGAATTGTACACTCTAAATGGGTGAATTGTACAGTATGTGAATTATATATCAATAAAGCTGTCATTAAAAAATGGCAGTTATTATTAAAACTACTATGACACACCAGGAAGGTGGGGGTGGAGGGGAACTCTAATCCAAAGGGAGTCACCCTGAGGATGTAATCCTCAACAGAGGCTGCCTAATGCATTAAAAATCAGAGTGAGAATAATGAATAAATAAAAGTTTCAAAATAATTTCATCCCTTAAATTATATTCAATGTAATATAAAAATGATTTTAAAAGATAAACATTTCTATATAGACCTATTTCATAAGGGTCAGTATGAATTCTAGTAGCCATTTTGAAAAATGCTTTCTCTGACAAATAATCCATTCTGATGCATTTTTCTTAATATGTTTTACTAAATACAAACCATGATCATTAACTTGAGCTTTTTATTCAATAAAATACTCAAAGCTATTAAAGTTCCTGTGCTTATAACTGTACAAGTCTGAAATCTGTTAATTATGGATAATTATGGATAAGAGGGGCCATCAAATGGTTAACGCACACTCAACTAGAAAAAAGAACTCCATGTTTAAGAAACTGCAGATATTACAATTCATAATTTTCCTAACTGCAGGGTAAACTTATAGCACAGAAACATTTTGGAATTTGTTTATGAAATTGTAATAAGTTAAACAAAGTATAGCTGTAACTGAACAAATCACGAAATTACAGCAAATTTTTAAGGCATGCCTTTAAGGTTTTAAAAAAGCAGTATTAATTCATCTAATAAAACTTTGCCAGATGTGTTATTTCATGTCCTGTTCAGTAATTGTAAAATATCCTTACCACAGGAATGACATGAGTGACACCGTCTCCACTGTCTATTACCGTACCAGTCAACGTCCGTTCTCCTACTTGTCTTGAGGTCCAGGATGCAGCTAAGGCAAGAACAGCCTTGAATAAAAAGAAATAAGGCAGGCAAAATATAAAAACAAAGAGTTAATAGAAAAAACTAGTTTACTGGAGTACTTTATTCAATTTTAAATGTATTATCTGTGAAAAGAAAATATACAAAATTAATTTTGTATTATGCAATAAAATTGATCACTTCCTACATTTTATTAAGACAAGAGAACAGGCTTGTATTTGCTTTCAGGAGCATATTTAGAAGTACATATTTTATGAGGGCTATTTTTCTCCTAAAGCCAAAAACATGGAAGACAGCATGAAATAGTACAGTACTAACTTGCCAGAACGCAAAAGATGTTCACATGGGCTGGCCTGTTACAAACCATAATACAGGATAAAAAGTATCCGATCACCCAACCTCCAGAGTTATTCGATACCTAGACGACTAAAAACAACTATCACTCTTACAAAGATTAGCTTCAAATTTTTTAAATGCAACATGTGTTTAAGACTATGTGACACACAGAAAAGGCCATTGCACACTTCCAAATACTACTATGATTTAATTAGGAAGCAAAGTTGATAAGAATATTTTTCTATGAAAAATCTTGGTATAGCCAACATAACACAATTTTTTAAGTTGAAAACTAAGAAATTAACACAGTTTATTTTTTAAAAACTAAATTTCTTACAATCCCAGACTCAAACAAAGTATATGACTAATAATTAAAAACAGACCTAAACTGGCTTTATTTTACCTACCTGCAATATAACAGCTGACAGGGACCCAGAAATGTATCTAGGCCACCCTTCTATTTTAACACAACGACCACATAATTATTGCGAGTTACAGAACTATACAATATTTTTTGAAGGTCTTACAATGAAAAATTCCATACTGACACTAATTTAAAAAAAAAAAAACTGTTTACACTTAATTGTGAGGTATCATTCCTTTTTAGATTAAGTCTGAAACCATCATTTACAACCAGGAATTATCTTCAATCATTTTTTGCATGTCTTTTCTAAGTAGCTAAGATCCCAAACTAGAACATGTACCAGCACATCATGTTACAAAATTTTATTGACTACTGAACAACAACACAACAGAACAGAAACTAAATGATGAAGTCAAGAGCACCCAGAGGCCACTAAGGAAATCACTGCAATACCAAATTATGACTCCAAAAGAATGAAACAAAACTCTTAGTGCCATTGTTTTAAAGTAAGCACCAGACGATATCAAACGTAAGTTTATTACATTTAACATCAAAATGAGAAGCAAAGACTCACAAGTAAAAGATGAATTCCCCCAAGCACTCACTTTATTCAGATTCTAAGAATTAAAAAGGACCTCCCACTCAAGACTGAATTCCTTTTTATAAAGGAATTGACAGGTGTATGCTTATATATTTTTTAGCAATAAAGAACTTAAAAGACAGCTCATTAAATTTATAGATTACATTAAACATTAAAAAGTTCTTTGCTATCCAAGCCAAAATATTTATCCCAATAATTAGCATTTATTGGTCCTGTGTACCCTGGGGTTACAAAAACACAGTCTCATCCCAAGAAAGTACAAAGTCAGAAACACATTAGCTCACATCACAAGTAACCACTTAACTTTGAATAAGCTACCTTTAAACTTTAATTTTTTTCTCTATAAAAAATGAATAAAAATACCTATAATTAATAAGAATAATGAACTCATACACCCATAAAGCATTCGTGATATGTCAGGTATTGCATTTGTTACAGGGTTAAAAACCAAGGAGGTAAGCTCTGATCTTGAGGAGTGGGACAGATGGGAGAGAAGCTGTTCCATACGGAGACGTGCACAAATTAAGTACAATAAAATAGTACAGATATTTATGATATACAGGATTCAGAGGGGCACAAAGGAGAGGTGGTCCAACATACCTAAAAGTAAGTCAACCAAAAAGACTATGACAAATGACATAAAGAATGTTACAAGGATAAATGAACATGTATGTAATGTTCCTGGCATGGAGTAAGCATTCAATAAATACTAGTTCCCTTTTTCTGTCCTATGAAAGCCCTTGAAATTTCCAAAGATCATTCATTAATTTACTTCCTTTAACAATTCTCTTTTTCTAAGTATCTCCATCTTCTATAATATTATTTCTAAGTTAACAATTCAGGAGAGAAGTATGATATACTTGGACATTATGTTTAAGCCTTTGCAAGGGAAAAAAAAGAAAAAAATTATATGTTTTAGCAGCAAATTAAACCAGATTAACTTTAAGAGTCAAGCTTAAATAAACATCAACTTGCTTACCTGTACAGCAATGTACAAGCCTGGAACATTGAAAGACTCAAACATTATTTCAGCAGTATATTCCCTGTTTTCTGGAGTATTCAGTGGAGGTTCAGTCTATTGAATTGAAAAACATTTTAAATAGATAATATCAGATTATTTTGATAACTTCATAGACAATTTTAAATGAGAAAGAATTTACTTCAAACTCTGTATTTAAAATGCATTAAACTTACAGGTAGAAAGATAGACACTAAGACCAAAGGAAAACTATAAAGAATTCAAACGGATCTATACATATATGAATACAATATGGTCATTCACATAAAAAAAGTAAAGAAACTGAATCCCTATTTCATACCACTCATATGGATTAAACATTGAGAAGAAATGAAGAGGGAGAGAGGAAAGGAGTAAAGGAGGGAAGGAAAAGGTGATCCAGTGAATAATCCTATAAACATGGTAATGACAGACCTCCAGATAAACACCAATGGTATGCTTTTAGCAGGATATGTCTGGTCTGTGCAGGATTATAATAAATAAGCCAAAATTCCACAAAGTTAATAGCATCACTTCCTAGAAAATGTTATACTAAGTTTTAACTGTTACTGAGTATAAAATAGAGATGTTCACACTGTTCTCTTCTGTTTAAGTTATGTGGCTACATATATCACTTAGAAACCTCATAGATTTAAGTCTGGGCCAGAATACACTCTAATGAGGCAAGAAAGGGCCTGGGGAACAGCACTCCAATCCTGGACTTCATGTTTCCCCTATGTCTCATGATCGCTTAAATCATTTAAATTATTATAGCTTGACACTAGCTAAGACCTCTGATTCTTATGAGTTTGATTTCACAACCCAAACCTTTGTGGTATCTCAAATACTTAAATGTCAAGGCAAAATTTTTTTTTTTTTTTTTTTGAGACAGAGTCTCACTCTTTTTGCCTGGGCTAGAGTGAGTGCCGTGGCGTCAGCCTAGCTGACAGCAACCTCACACTCCTGGGCTCAAGCAATCCTTCTGCCTCAGCTTCCCGAGTAGCTGGGACTACAGGCATGCGCCAACATGCCCAGCTAATTTTTTCTATATATTTTTAGTTGTTCGATTAATTTCTTTCTATTTTTAGTAGAGACGGGGTCTTGCTCTTGCTCAGGCTGGTCTCGAACTCCTGAGCTCAAACAATCCGCCCGCCTCGGCCTCCCAGAGTGCTAGGATTACAGGCGTGAGCCACCGCGCCCGGCCAAAACTTTTTTAAATGTAAGAAATAGAGAAGAATTATCTTTTTGACATTAAGGTAAGCAATGATTCCTTAAATTTAAAGAAGGAAAAGAGTGATAAAACTTGAATTCATTACAAATTAAGTCATTATCATTATTATTATTATTTCAAAAGACACCATAAGAAAGTAAACCGAGCAGGAGTAGACTTTTTTCCATATATAATAAAACCTGTAACAGCTAAACTCCCTACTGTGTTTAAACTTATTTAGAACAGTTCAAGAACTATTTTCAAAAGTTTAGAGATAATTTAGTGATAGGTACGTACAAAATTAAATTAAAAAGCCAAGGCAGTCAAATTATAAGCTCCAAGAAAATCAGGAGTTCTACATAAAATATAATCAGATGACCTCACAAAGGAAAATATATAAATAGCTAATAATAATTTATAAATAGTACATGAAAAAATGTTCAACATCATTAGTCATTAGGAAAGTGCAAACTAAAAGCAAAAGAGAAATCTTACACATCCATTAGAATGGCTAAAATTACACAGAATGACACACCAAATGCTGGACAGAATGTATAGCAACCACACTATTAAGGCATTATTGGTGGGTACGTAAAAAGGTATAACTCCTTGGGAAAAGTTCTCAGTTTCCTACAAAACCAATCGTGTGCCTACCCTATGACACAGCAATTCCATATCTATATATTTAGACAAGAGAAATGAAAACGTATGTCCACAAAAAGACTTGTACAAGAATGTTCACAACGGCCAAACTATTTATAATAGTTAAAAACTAGAAATAGCCCAGGTGATCATCAACAGGAAAATGGATAAAGTGAGGCATATTCATGCAATGGAATACTCAACAAATCACTGGTATATGCAACAACATGGATAAATCTCAAGATTATGCTGAGTGAAAAAAGTTTTACCAAAAAGCACATCTTGCATGATTCCATTTATATGCAACACATATACAGGCAAAACAGAGGTTGCCTATAAGGAATGGGGTCAGAGATTTAAAAAAAAAAAAGCATAAGAAAACTTTCCAGACTGATAGTAATGTTCTACATCTTAATAAGGGTTTAGGTCACACAGATGGACACATCTGTCAAAACCAAAGGTTGAACAAACAAATCATGCATCCTGTAGGCCAAATCTGGCCCATTGCCTGTTTTTATAAATAAAATTTTATTGGAACACAGCCATACCTATTAATTTTTGTCTATGGCTACTTTCATGCTACAAAAGCACAGTTGAGTAGCTGTGACAGGGACCCAATAAGTTCTCATTAAGTTTCTTAAGAGACCATATCACCTACAAAGCCAAAAATATTTGCTATATGGTCCTTTAGAGAGTTTGCCAATACCTGGTCAAAATCCACAGAATGGTTCAGATCTGTGATTTCACAGTATATACATTTTACATAAAAAGAATAATCACAGACAAATGATGAACTCTAACTGATAATACACATGCTGAAGAATTTAGGAGTCAAATGACTCCCACCTGCAACTCATTTTGAAGTGATTCAAAAAAAGAAATGGCAGATGGATAGATGCCATAAAGCAAGCATAGTAAAATGTTAATTGTTGTGGATATATGGGTGTCCACCGCAAAGTTCTTTCAACTTTATGGTCCAATCACAAATAATATTTATAAATCACCTTAATAAAATATAGAATATTGATTTAACTGAAAATTGTGATTTATTTATAACGCAAAGAAAGGAAAAGAATAGGCATTTTGTGTCAAGAGAGAAAGATTAAAAAAGAAAAAAAAAGGAAATCTTCATTTTTCCTACTAGGAAGTTAGTAAAGAGTGCCTAATATTTTAAAAAACAGTAAGAAATAGAAGAAACATTATTTAAGTTTATGAGATTACTACCAAGGAAAACTTTTTTAAAAACTGAAAATGTTTGCTTCTGGGGAATATGATTCAAGGGTCGGGAGAGATGAGAAAGGACAGTGCTATATTTTTTGTTTTAAGTCTTATAAAGGCATTTGAATTTTTAAGCTATGAACATGCACTGCTTTAATAAAAAGGAAAAAAAGGAAAAAGCTTAAAAATGAAATTATATTGTATTTTTGTTACTAAGGATTACCAATGAAATGATAATCAGGCTAATTATTAAAATAAAAAAGGAAAATGCCACAGGTTTCTAACTTTTTTCTGAACATTACTTACTACTCCTATCATACAGATTACATATTAATTATCAAAAGCACTTAGGTGCTTATACTTTGGTATTCTGACATACTACTCTACTGTAGCCATAACAAGATGGTCTTAGAGATGATACGGCTTTGGAACAACATCTTTTAGAAATATGACAATTTAATAAACAATATACCCTAGTGAGTACAGATGTGATAAAAATATTCTCATTAAGTTTCTTCTAAAATTTCCTCAGTGAAATTATAACTTGTACTTACCAAAAGAAAATAATGGTCTTCAGGTTCTGCCCTTAAATATTTAAAAATCACTTGCTCCATAAACCTTTCCATCAAGTCCCAATCTTCAACTATACCATGGCGGATTGGCCACTATTAAACAAACAAGAAAACACAAATTAAATTTTATTAATATCAAAAATAAATAAAATAAGAAAAAAACTACCCAAGGAATATCAGATCATTAGTGGATATTAGATGAGGATACATTTTCTTAGGTGTTATAATGATACTGTAGATCCTTTAAAAATGCATACTTAAGGCTGGGTGCAGTGGCTCACGCCTGTAATCCTAGCACTCTGGGAGGCTGAGGCGGGAGGATCACTTGAGGCCAGGAGTTTGAGACCAGCCTATGCAAGAGCAAGACACTGTCTCTACAAAAAATACAAAAATTAAATGGGTGTGGTGGCTGGTGCCTGTAGTCCCAGCTACTTGGGAGGCTGAGGCAGGAGGATCGCTTGAGGCCAGGAGTTCAAGGTTGCAGTGAGCTGTGATGAGGTCACTGTACTCTAGCCTGGGCGACACAGTGAGATCCTGTCTCAAAAAAAAAAAAAAAAAATGCATACTTAAACACTTAGAGATAAATGATATTACTTCTACAACATACTGTTAGATGGTTCAATAAGAAATATAAAGTGAATATGTCAAAATGTTAAAAAATTATTAAATCTAGATAGAAGGACATTGTGCTAGTCTTTCTAGATTTCTGAAACCTTTGTAATTATGGGAAAACTTAGCCCATTAAAATTAAGCCTAAAGAATTATAATTCATCACAGTTTCCTTAATTTTTAATTTATTAGCTCAGCAAATGTTTGTTGTGTACTGAATATAAAAAATACAATTGCTAAGTATATAGCTAGAACAAACATAAAAATCAAGCATGTAAAATTGTATAAGAAAAGTTGTATACATTTGTATAGAATCATGCTTCAAAACTGTGCTCCAAGAGTCCTGCTATAGTTTGGATGTGGTTTGCTTCCACCAAAACTCATGCTGAAATTGAACTGCCAGTGTAACAGTACTGAGAGATGGTAGGACCTTTAAGAGGTGATCAGGCCATTAAGTGGAATTAATGCAGCTCTCAGCAGAACTCAGTTAATTCCCCAAGGAGTTCAGAGTAGACTGTTACAAAGTGAGGCTGCCCCTTGTTTTCTGTCCTTTTCTGCTCCTTCCTCCCCACCATGTCATGAAGCAGCACAAGGCCCTCAACAGAAGCCGATCACATGTGGCTGCCTCATCTTGGACTTCTCAGCCTCCAGAAACATAAACCAAAATAAACCTCTTTTCTTTATAAATTACCTAGTCTCAGATATTCTGTTATAGCAACATAAAACGGACTAAGACTGCACCCCAGTGTACTCCAGCAAATTCAAAAGGATGTCACAAAGTATTTTAAATTTTCCGGGGACATACAATTATTCTCAACCATCAGTTGGACACTGCATGATCTACAAGTCAAGGTAGTTCCATGTCAACATTAGATCATACTATATTCCTTTCGATGATATCATTTCTTTGAGAAACTGGGTTGCTAGCAGTTGCTGTGATAAGAATCAAGTATCACACAAAACAAAATCCAGGCCAGGCATGGTGGCACACGCCTGCAGTCCTAGGTACTTGGGAGGCTGAGGAAAGAGCATCACTTGAGCTCAGGAGTTTGAGGCTGCAATGAGCTATAATGGCACCACTATACTCCACCCTGGATGACAGAGTGAGACTCTATCTCGGGGGAAAAAAAAAAGAATCCATATAAAATAAGAAATGAGGGTGGCAATGTCTAAGCTGATTCAAGGTTTGAGAAGCTGTGTGGTGCCTAACAGGCATAAGCATCCTAATAGTAACTGTGATTATTTAACAATGAATTCTTGTATTTTCCATTTAAGTGTCTTATTTTTCCAAATGGCTAAGTTGCTTGAGCCTAGTACTTAACTAACAGAACTGTTAGACATTTCTTTTGATCTAGGCAGCACTGTGAAAAATGTTACTGAGGCATTAAAGGCACTGAGAAAATTTGTGAACCTCTGCAACATAATAGTTTCATGAACACAGTACATATTCAATACCTAGGGTTAAATGAAATAATGAATGAACTATAAATATCTTGTAGTATTAATCCCTAACATCCACCTCTTACTATAGCTTCCTCAATACTTTTTAAGGCATTATACTTATAAAATGACTTCTACTCCCCAGTTTGCTTTAGGGAAGAAAAAAATGTATTTTACTATTATCATTCATTTTATAGTACTATTAGAAGTTTACAAATTTAAATGTTCTCAGTGTTATTTATTCATTAATTGTTACTATATATCTACTGTGAACCACTGGCACAAATGCTAGGGACATGGACATCCTGCTCACAAGAAACTCAGTCTAGTGAAAGAAATATATACAAACAAAAATTACATTATAGGTTTTTTAAAGAATAAAGTTCCTCAAACAAGATGACCAACTTGACTTTTGAGGAAAAATGGGAAGGCTTCACTGAAGAAGTCATATCTAAGCTGGGTCTCATAGGAGCAATTTTCTCAGTTTTGCTTTCTTGTGGGGAGGGGAGCAAGGAACTTGCAGAAAATAGAAAAAACTACACACAAATACTGTACAGTATACAAAAACAATGAAAGTATCAATGAAAAATACATGTACCAAAAGGGTTGGGGTAAGGAGTGTAGAAAAATATACCAGTTCTACATCAAGGGAACCAGAATCTCAAAATTTTCCCTTATGTTTCGGTGTTATTTGGTAAGAAAGAGGACATCAGTAGAAATTTCTAAACAAGTATATGACAAGAACAGCTTACATTTTTAGGAAGATTATTATAGCAGCTGAAATGAATCTTAAGAGAACGAAGCAAGAGAGAACAAGAAGACCAATTATGGTATGCATGATACCAGGCCACATTCAAGATTTCTCAGTCAATAAGAATGAGGAAAAAACTCAAGAGATATCAACAGGTTTCTTGCTCTGAGGCCAGGATAAACAGGATCCATAGATCAAAACACAAAAGTTGTGTTTTGTCTAGTCTTAGAATAAACAAGAGTGAAGTATATATAACAAGTTATATTTTGGCTATATTAAACTCAAGAACCAGGAAGTAAGTAGTTGACAGGTAGCTGGAGATGTGGCCAAGGAAATGGAAGTAGAGGTCTAGGTTGTGGTTGTAGACAAGAAGTGGATGAGATCACTTAGAGAAAGTCTTTAATGGAAGAATAAAAGAGAACCAAGGACAGTTCTCAGGGAATAGCAACATTTGAGTAGTGGGCAAAGGAGGAGGAGGAACCAGGAAAACAAAAAACAAAAAAATAACAAAAAGAAGAGTCTGTGTTAGGAAGAGAACCATCAGAGTAACCCTGTGAAAGAAAGATAAATCAAGAAGGATGAAGACTTATATACAATTTACAAAAAGCATACCAAATAACTTGAGACTCAATAAGAAGTTTGGTTTTAAATAGAGGAAAATAAAACAATGGCTAAATTGCTGAGAAAAAAAGGTAGGAATAAAGCTTGACAGAAGTTTTGTTGTTTTGGTTTATTTGTGGCACTTGGAAGAGTCAAAAATGTTTTTAAAAGGAGAGCACAGAATCAGTGCAGAGGAGCTCTGGCCTCTAAGCTCACTAACTTCATCACATTCAATGGTTTCTCTTTTCCATTTTGACCAATTTCATCTTATCATTATCATCTCTATATCCCTGAAATGCAGGTATACCCCTTCTCTGATCACCTCTTATTATTCTAGCATACTCTACCACCTCACTATACCTCCTTTGATAACAATTAAGAATTTCAGTCCACTGACTATTCTAATTATTCCCTAGTCTCAATAAACACACTGTTTAGATTTTATGACCTATCGCTTTGACTATTCACATTTCCTTCTATTATCCCATTTACCAAAATCCAACCCAGCATGACCCTACCATACACTTGCCAATACCCAGAATACTGATTGTACTTCAGAAATATATATAACTGGGTTCATGAAGCTAAGAATTCATAATGATTATTCTCAAATGGACCTAACCTTGCCTGGCAAGCCTGTTTCCCTACTCTGTTCATCTTTCCTCTCCGCAATGGTGTTATTCAATGCTTTCCTCCTACCACTCTGATTTCACCTTCTCCCCCCATTCCATGAGCAGAAGATGATGTCACCATATATTTCACAGAGAAAGCAGAAGCCAAAAGTCAGGAATCCAACATCCCTTTACCAAATATGTAAAACTGATTCCACATTTACCCTTTTTTCTCCTTCATTTCCATTATAATGTAAGAGAGACTCCTTGTATCAACTTGATCATCTGTGTTCCCATCTCTCCAGCTTTCTCGGAGACGCTGATTGTACCCCATCTTTCCTATTACTTTAATCTCTCTTTCTAATGGCTCTTTCACATTCGCATTTAAACATCTCTTCCATCTGAACTCTGCAACTTGTCTTTTCATCTATCTCTCCCGCCCAACAACAGCCAAAACTGAAATAGCTCTCTTTCTGTCACTTTTTTTCCCTAGCCTCCCATTCACAACCCTACTTTCATCCAGCCCAACTATTCTTCTATAAATATTCTCATTAAGGTTATAAATGATCTTCTTGTAGCTAAAGACAGCAAATTATCTATAGGCTCTAGCTTACCTGATATCTCAGCAGCATTCCACAGTTTATCACCCCTCCCTGTTTAGTGTTGTCAATCTAGCTATGCCTTCTCAGTCTCTGTTGCAGACTTTTCCTTCTCTACTCAAACCTAATCGGCACATTGTTCAGGGCTCCGTCCTAGGCCTCGGTCCCTCCTACACACTCCCCTAGGTAATTTCATCCCCTCCAGAGATAAATGATACCTCTGAATCTGTCTTCAGCTCTGCCTTGTATCTTAGCTCCAAAATCTACATATTTGATGGTCTAACAATATCTCAGATGTCTCACAGGTACCCCAAATATAACTTATTCAAAATTAAACTTACCCTCTCCTCCCTACACCACCACAGTTAAAAGTAAACTTAATCTCTCACCATATACAAAAATCAACTCAAAATGCATTAAAGACTGAAATGTAAGACTCAAAACTATAAAACTATCAGAAGAAAATCTAAGAGAAACACTTCAGGGCATTGGTCTGGAAAAGAGTCTATGAAAAGACCTCAAAAGTACAGGCAACAACAGCAAAAATAGACAAATGGGATTGTATCAAACTAAAAAGCTTCTGCACAGCCAAGGAAACAATCAACAGAGTGAAAAGACAATCTACAGAATGGGTGAAAATACTTGTAAAATATACATCTGACAGAGGATTAATACCCAGAATACACAAGAAACTCAAACAACTTAACAGTAAAATAATAACAACAATCTCATTTTAAAATGGGCAAATGATCTAAATAGACATTTCTCAAAAGACATACAAATGGCCAAAATATATGAAAAAATGTTCAACATCACTAATCATTAGGGAAATGCAAATCAAAACCACAATGAGATATCCTCTCAGCCCAGTTAGAATGGCTATTTTAAAAAGACACAAAATAACAAATGCTGGCAAGAAGTAGAGACAAGGGAACTCTCGTACACTGTTGGTGGGAATGTAAACTAGTACAGCCATTATAGAGAACAGTATGGATGTTCCTCAAAAACCACAAACAGAACTATCATATGATCCAGCAATCCCACTACTGGGTATATATTAATACTTAAAGGAAAGGAAATCAGTATATCAAAGAGATAACCTGTACCCCCATGTTTATTGCACCAGTCGGAACAAAACCCAAGACATGGACTCGACCTAAGTGTCCATCAATGACTGAACAGACAAAGAAAATATGGTTAAATACACAATGGAATGAAATCTTGTCCTTCACGCAACATGTATGAGCCTGTAGGACATTATGTTAAGTGAAATAAGCCAGGAACAGCAAAATAAATACCACATGTTTTCGTTCATATCCAGAAGCTAAAAAAGTTGATTTCGTAGAAACAGAGAGTAAAAAAGTGGTTATCAGAGGCTGGAAAAGGTAGATGGGAGAAGGGGATAGGGAGAGATTGGTTAAAGGACACAAAATTACATCTAGGTAAGAGGAATAAGTTTTAGTGTTCTATAGCACTGTAGGATGACTACAGTTAACAATAATTTATTATATATTTTCTGATAGCAAGAAGAGAGGATTTTGAATGTTCCCAACACAAAGAAATGATAAGTGTTTGAGGTGACAAATATGCTAATTACTGATTTGATCACTATACGTTGTATGTATCAAAACATCACTGCGTACCCTGTAAATATGTACAATTATTACGTGTCAATTAAAAACAAAAAAATTTTTCAACGGTTTCTCCTTTAATGTTCTCAATCTCAGGAGATAAGGGATAAGGAGACTATTTAGGAGCTGGAAATTATCCTCAATTGATATGTCTAGCTTCCACTGACCTCATTAATCATTCCCTGTTACACTTTAAATATCTACTTTTTTATTCTTGAGGAAAAAAAATCTCACAAACATCTAATCAGACTTCTAGATTTAACTGCCACTTTGTAACAAAAAAAAAGGTAAATATAGGAAATACCATCTCATGTTAAATGACACAATAAGCATGCAATAATCAGAATATCAGAATTCAGAATATGGGAAATTTTACAAGGCAACTAGGTTTTTTCCACAAATAAATGGAAAGAAGAAAGAAAAGAAAAACGCACACAGGGAGAAGAATCTATAGATAAAAAGAGAGATAAGAGACTTATCAACTAAATACAATGAACAGATCTTATTTTAATCTTGATTCAAACAGAATAACCAAATATAGGAAATGATTGGAAAAAATTAAGCACTGACTAGGTATTAGATAATCTTTGGAAACTGCATACTACATTAAGGCATGATATTATTTTTGAAAAAGTCCTTACATTTAAGAGATAAGTATCTGTAAGTAAAACAGTATGTACAATTTACTTTAAAATAATTGGGGGCGGGAGGGCGGAGTATAGACCAAACAACAAAACAAGATCGTCAACAGGTTAATAACTGCCAAAGCTGTGTGATGGTCACATGGGGGTTCATTATATTCCTGTCTCTACTTTCGCATATTAAGTTTCCCACAGTACAGTCAAATGTCTGTGTGTGTGAATAACACAAACAATTTTTTATTTATCTCCATGCATCACTGTAGTCCAAGTCACTAATATCCCTTGCCTTAGCTATTGCAATAGTCAATTATCCAGTCTTCCCAGAATCATGCTTGCCTGCGCCAAATAATTTCTCTTCATTGTCACTGCAGCCTGAGTAATCTTTTCTAAATAATAAAAATAGCCAAGACATATTGAGTATCCATTTATGAACTAAAAATAAAATCTTAAACCCTCTGCTAACTGAATGGACCACTCTCGGCCAAGGGGACAGCAGAAACACCTTGAAACTGAGTTCCCAATCGTGACAGGATGGGAGAAATAAAGCACGATTACATGCATATGATTTCCCTTTGTAAATATTCATAACTCCTCCTATAGCCTGTTGAATACATATATTTGACTACCTCGTTCAGTATAAAATCCTCTTCCCTTCTGTCTTTCTTTGAAGTACATGTGCCTGGCTTCTGGCAGGGACTCTGCTTCCCAACCTGTTGGCATGGCTGCCAAACAGGTTGCTACCCTTTATAAGAAATAAAGCTCTCCTTTTTCCAAAGTATAAGCCTTGTTAATTTGCTTTTCAGAAAACAAACAGAACTATACAAATATAGAACACAAATTTATTAATTTGTTAACACATTATGTACAAAGAACTACAGTATAACATTTTTTTTTTTTTTTTTTTTTGAGACAGAATATTGCTCTGTTGCCCCAGCTAGAGTGCAGGGGCGTCATCACAGCTCACTGTAACCTCAAACTTCTGGGCTCACGCAATTTTCCTGCCTCAGATCTCCAAGTAGCTGGGACTACAGGTGCACACCACCACATCGGGCTAATTTTTCTGTTTTTTGTAGAGACGAGGTCTCACTCTTGCTGGTCAGGCTGGTCTTGAACTCCTGACCTCAAGCAATCCTACTGCCTCGGCTTCCCAGAGTGCTAGGATTACAGGCGTGAGCCACTTCACCCAGCCGACAATTCCTTTATACGCATTAGCCTCATAACAATACTGAAGCACCAATAATATCTCCATTTTACAGATGAAGAAATTGAAAATCAGAAAGGTTAAGTCACTGAATGATATCACAAAGTTAGAAATCAGCACAGTCAGAACTGAAATCCAAACAGGCAGGCTTTGATATTTGTGCTTTCAAGCACTAAAATTATTCCTCTAGTTAAACCCATTAATATTACTCACAGGGTACAGTTCAAGTTCTTTACCATGGCCTAACAATACTTTCAATGCTCTTTTCTGGCCTATCATCCAGCCGCCTCACTTCTGTCCACCTCATTCTTTATGCTTCAGGCACAGTGGTTGTGTAGTTCCAGTCTCCCTCCTACTTTAAACATCCCCACATATTGGTGCCTCTGCCTAAAACAACTCGGCCTGCACACCTCACCCAGCTAATTCCTATTTTATTCTTCAAGCCTCAGCTTAAAGATTTACACCTCAAGGACTTTCTGAATCTTCACACTAGGTTAGCTATTTCTTGATACCTGCCGAGAGCAACCTCTGCCTCCTTTTTTCTAACCCACTTGTAATTTCTTCAGTGTCTTCTTTTCCACCACATTATAATAGCCTTGAAGTCAGGGAAGATATTTTTCTTATTTACCACTGTACTCTCAATGTTTGGCAAAGTTGTTGATACATGATAGTTAATCATTAATGAATAAATTATGAGAGAAGGGAAGAAAAGAAGTACAAAAGGGAATATCTGCAAATTAGGCAAAGTCAATGTCAAAAAATAAGATGATAAAGGTCAGAATAGTATTTACTTTTTGGTGAGGTTGAAGTGGTGACTGTTGGAGCAAGTACAAGGAAAGCTTCTGGATACTAGATTTGCTCTGTATCTTTAACTGTTACGATTAGTCACAAAAATTATTCCAACTGGGCCGGGCGCGGTGGCTCACTCCTGTAATCCTAGCTCTCTGGGAGGCTGAGGCCGGCGGATTGTTTGAGCTCAGGAGTTCGAAACCAGCCTGAGCAAGAGTGAGACCCCGTCTCTACTAAAAATAGAAAGAAATTAATCGGACAACTAAAAATATATAGGAAAAAATTAGCCGGGCATGGTGGCGCATGCCTGTAGTCCCAGCTACTCGGGAGGCTGAGGCAGAAGGATCGCTTGAGCCCAGGAGTTTGAGGTTGCTGTGAGCTAGGCTGACGCCACGGCACTCACTCCAGCCCGGGCAAAAGAGTGAGACTCTGTCTCAAAAAAAAAAAAAAAAAAAATCATTCCAACTGTACAATTAAGACTTACATACTTCACTGTATATAGTTACACCTCAATGAAAAGAGTCAAGGAGGGGAAAGAGTAGGAAGGAGAAAGGGAAAAAGAAAAAGAGGAAAAAAGAGAGCAGGACTTCCAGATGGCAGAAGCTTCAAAAAGAAGAGAAATGGTATGTGTTTGAATAAAGACGGGAGGAAAATATCTCTAGACGCAGCAATGTGGAGGTAAGAGAAAGCCAACACCATTGAAGGCCCTCAGTGGGTGTGGAAAAGTAAATACTGCTCACTTGAAAGGGCAAAAACTTTCCTCCTGGGGTGGGGGGAAAGCAGAGTTAAAGCAACAGGGAAAGAGGCCACAGAGAAGAAGATACTTCTACTGTGAAGAGGTTGAGGATATTAGGTCTATAATAAAGTGAAATTACAGAGGGCAAAATCGTTGAACAAATTAATTTTTGAAAGAAAATCTTATTTATTTACACAAATCATAAAAACATACCTTTGTTGCATATGTAGGTTTTTCTATTGCTTCATCACCAATGAAGAAGTCTAGGTCATCAACACCTTTCATCACCCTTCTTTGCGCTTGATCACCCACTTTTGCTGACTCCTTAATAGCAATACCTTTAAAATAAGTTATTTAGACATGTAAAGGAATTCATTTTCTTCAAATGAGACAAACTTTCAACTTATACTTCCTCCATTATAAAGTGTTATAAATCAAAATATGGCCTAGTATATTTAAATTGTCAAACCAATGCACAAAGGTCATAAGAAACCAGTGATAAAATTCATTTTACATAGTGAAATCTCAACTTCCACTCAGAGACAAAGCTTCAAAAGCAAAAAGCCAAAAAAAGAAGTAATATTGTGAGAATGTTTCAGTTACATTTTTTTAAAACTATGGGAGTTCTCACTGGATTCTGAGTAAAATTATAATCCAAACAAGTACACATATGCATGATGAACAATCAGAAAGAAAAAACTGAAAAACGCTAACAAAAGAAAAAGAAAAACTTCAAGGAGAATTTTTAAAAACAAACTTTCTTCATATCTCTATGCTATTCACTACTGTGGTCTAGTAATTTAAATAAAACAGGGATCTGTTAAACTTTAATCACATATACAAAAGGAAATCTCAATTCATTTAGGTAAAATCTACGACAATCCCATTAAAGCATACCGTTCCAGAGCTAAACTTGTTATGTATTTTTTAATTTAGTTATAAATTTCTGAATCTTTCAAGTTCTTCATTCAAAATAATTAATTGAATGTACTTAAATTGATCTGGCATTCAACTGTTAGTTTCATTTAATAACAGTTATACCGTAAGAAGGTGGGTAGAAAATAACTGAAAAAAAATTTTAAATCCACAGTCTTCTATATGTTAGAAACTCTCTCCAGCAATTTATTTATAATGTGCATAGACATCCAGATGGCTCATTATAAATTTCCTGAAAAATAAAGATATATGAAAATAACTTTGAACCATAACTGTATAGTTTTTCCAGATCATATACTCATATTCATCAGTAAGAAACAGTGGCAATGTCTTTATCTGCTGATTATAAACACTGCATCTGCAGCATTAAAACTGGGTGGGTGGGAAAAAAAATCAAAAGCTTCCTTATAGTAGGCAAATGAATTTTAACATGCTGTAAATTCATAAGAACAACAACAAAAAAAAAACCCAAAGACTGCATATTTTGGCAGAGGCATGAAATAAGCAATGGATTCAACAGTGATGGGATCCTAAAGTTCAAAAGATCAAGATTTTATAGGCCTCCAACAAAGACTTAATACAGCCATTTAAGAATATAACCAGGCCGGGCATGGTGGCTCACGCCTGTAATCCTAGCACTCTGGGAGGCTGAGGCTGGAGGATCGCTCAAGGTCAGGAGTTCAAGACCAGCCTGAGCAAGAGTGAGACCCCCACCCCCCCCCCGTCTCTACTAAAAATAGAAAGAAATTAGCTAGACAACTAAAAATATATATAGAAAAAATCAGCCAGGCATGGTGGCACATGCCTATAGTCCCAGCTACTTGGGAGGCTGAGGCAGAAGAATTGCTTGAGCCTAGGAGTTTGAGGTTGCTTTGAGCTAGGCTGACGCCACGGCACTCTACCCCAGGCAATAGAGCAAGACTCTGTCTCAAAAAAAAAAAAAAGAATATAACCAAAACCAAATTTTGCAAAGTTAGCAAATACGTCAGTAATCGCCTGAAATAAACTCTTAATCACAATGTAATGCCTTACAAAAGATTATAGATTAAGGGATTACATAATAAGCACTGCAGTGGGCTAAATTGTGTCCCCCCCCCTCCAAAAAGCATAAAATATGTTGAAGTCCTAATCCCCACTAACTTAGAATATGCCCTTGTTTCGAAACAGGGTCTTCTGAGTTAAAATAAGGCTATCAGGGTGGCCCCTAATCCAATATGACTAGTATTCTTATAAAAAGGGGAAATTTGGACACAGAAAAACACACACAGAATGATGATGATGTGAAGGCACAAAACAAGAAGACAGCTGTGTGACTGGAGTGATATTATCTGCCAGCCTAGAAACACCAAGGATCCTGAGGAAACATCAGAAGCTAGAAGAGGCAAGGAAGGTTTGAGCTGTCAGCCAGAGTGTGGCCCTGCTGACACATTGATTTTGTACTTCTAGACTCCAGAATTCTAAGTTTCTTGTTGTTTTTTGTTTTGTTTTGCTTTTTGAGACACGATCTCTCTCTGTTGCCTGGGCTAGAGTGCAGTGGCACCATCATAGCTCACCACAACCTCAAAGTCCTGGGCTCAAGCAATCCTCCTGCCTCAGCCTCTGAAGTAGCTGGGACTACAGGCATGCGCCATTATGCCCAGGTAATTTTTCTATTTTTTGTAGAGATGGGGTCTTGCTCTTGCTCAGGCTGGTCTCAAACTCCTGGCCTCAAGCAACCCTCCCAGTCTTGGCCTCCCAAAGTGCCAGGATTACAGGAGTGAGCCACCACACTCAGCCAAGTTTGTTGTTTTAAGCCACCCAGTTTGTGGTACTTCGTTACAGCAGACTGAGGAAACTCATATATAATGGTCTAACACTAAACTCAAACATACCTAAAGTCAAGTACTAGCCCAGAGAAGTACTTCTACATTAATTAGCAAAAAGAGTAAATATTTGTCACTAGATTCTTAAAATAGAAAAAGGACCAATGTTTTGATATATAAATGTGAGGAAAAACATAAAGAAAAGCAAACCTGTTCTTCAGTATAGAAAACAAATATGTATGAATAAAATAGTTTTTAAAAGGCAATAGTACCACCAAAGCAACACCACTATACTCACATGTATGAACTATTTAATCAGTGTCACCTAAAATCCATTCTAGGGGCCGGGCGTGGTGGCTCACACCTATAATCCTAGCACTCTGGGATGGGAGGCAGGCGGGAGGGTTGCTTGAGCTCAGGAGTTCAAGACAAGCCTGAGCAAGAGTGAGGTCCCTTCTCTACTAAAAATAGAAAGAAATTAGCTGGACAACTAAAAATAGAAAAAATTAGCTGGGCATCGTGTCGCGTGCCTGCAGTCCCAGCTATCCGGGATGCTGAAGCAGGAGGATTGTTTGAGCCCAGGAGTTTGAGGTTGCTCGTGAGCTAAGCTGACACCACGGCACTCTAGCCCGGGCAACAGAGTGAGACTCTGTCTCAAAAAAAAAAATCCATTCTAGGTTTCTAAAAAGTATTAAATTTAGGTAGTAGCCTAAATTCTTACATAATCAATTCCTAGAAAAGTATACCAGAAAATTAGACGTGCAAAAGGCAAATAGGTTGTTTCTAGAAAGTGAAAAAGTGGATGAAAGCCCTAAATACATTTCCCCTTTTAGGTATAATTTTGACAACGTTATTTCTCATATTTCACACACTTCATATTGTTCCTACTATGCAAATGACAAAACAGTTGAGCTGCTTGTGTCCAATGAGTGTTTGAGACTAAAGATCTGCAGTCTTTAGGAGATCTTTCAGCAAGCCTAACAATTCCTACCTTATTCTCAACTTCACTGATTGTGAAGCCTAAGCTGCTCTCAATATTCTCTGCATGTTCACTTCACAATCTCCTTATTTTCATAAATAACAATATACAAAAAATATTCTGTCACATAAATACTACTGTGCAAAACTAGTGACACTCCCAAAATTAAACTAAAAGTTAGCACCACCAAGCAGAGGCTCAAAAGGTTAGTCATCTTGATGTGCAGGTCTTAATTTGGCTCTAAGACAAGTAGATCAAAGATGTTATTATATTATGTACAAAAGTGAACTGTTTGAAAGTCAAAAATACAAAAGTATGTCCATCAAGGAGCAAACACATAACCTATGCTAACAAACTAGAGTTCTAACAAACAAAATGTCAGAGTATTTTTTTAAAACTACTGAAAGACAGTTTATGGTCAGCTAAAGTGAGGTTAACAAAAATAGAACAAAAACAGTCTTCTAAAGACATCATGTATGAGGACAGCATGGTTATAGGATATTAGAAAAGAGGTGAGTTCAAAATCTCTGAAGATGACATGCTGTTCTTATTTTGAGACATGGGCATTCATCAGAGACATCAACAGGCACAGGCTCTGCAAACAATAGTCGTACCTACAAACCAAAGAACAGTCTTTGTAGGTGTATGATGGTGAATGTGTTACTTAATAATTAGTTACACCCACACAGTTAAAAGCAATATCCTCAAAGCAGAAAACTGTTTAATTATCAGATAATTTGGGGCTTTTTTTCCCTTTAAAAAAGATATTTAGTAGATTTGGTAAACACAGAGCTAAACAGAGAGCTGAAATGAATGATCACAGGTACAGAAATGGGGCCACACTTAGACTTTGGCAAACCATGTTTTTTAAAATCATGCTTTAAATATTATAGAATGTCAAAATATTATTATTTCTTTCACTTTAATTATTAGGGAAGAGATCTTTAAATCCACTCATTTGTGGCTTAGAAGAAATACTTACAGGAAGGGATGATAAACTGTGGTTCTGTATTTCCAGCATATCCTAGTTTTGTATACCTGAAAAACAAAAAGAATTTTATAAAAGATTTCACTAATATTTTTGTAATTATAAACTTCATTGTTAGATTTCCATTTGTTAAAAAGCAAGCATGATTCAATTGTGGGTAAATAATATACCAAATTCCATAGTTTCAGTTCATTTAACATCTATACTTTCAAAATTATATCAAAATTATAAATGCTCATGGCTTTTGAACAGAAATTTCATTTCAAGAAATTGATCTTACAGGGATATTTATACATGTGTGAAATAACATACAAACAAGGTCATTTGTTATAATCTTGCTCATAAAACAAAGAGATTGGAAATAACCTAAATTTCCATCAAACTGGAAACTAAGTATGCTAAATTTGTTTTTTTTGCTGCTGTTGTTAGTAATGTATAGGTTTAATTCTCAATCTAGACTTTTTTTCTAAAAGAGACAGGGTCTCTGTTGCCCAGGCTATACTGCAATGGTGTGGTCATAGCTCACTGTAGCTTCAAACTCCAGAGCTCAAGTGGTCTGCCTGCCTCAGCTTCCCAAGTAGCCTAGACTATAGGCACACACTACCATGCCTAGCTAAGCTTTATTTATGCTACGAAATATTATGCATCTATAAAAAAAACTGAAGAAGCTCTTTACGTACTGATATAAAACAATTTTCAAAATGTAATATGAACTGAACAAAACAAGGTATAGAATAGTGAATCAAGTATGGTATTAATATATTTGTATAAAAGTAATAATGAGGGGTAAGAACATATAAAATATATTTGATTGTACAGGCACAAAACATCTCTGAACAAATATATATAACAAATCAGTAATTTTAGTTGTCTCCAGAAAAGGGAACTTAGTAGGTGACGGACAGGGATGAGAGGAAGATTATTTAATTGCATATCGTTTCACACCATTCAAATGAATTACTATTACTATTCAAAAATAAATATAATTTTTTAATGTTTTACCACAGTGAGTTTTTATTATTCTTATAATAAAATAACAATATAAATAATGATTAGAAACTATTAGGTTGTTAAGTATGAAATGCCCAATTTCCTTAAGTACTAAGTTTGACACTTGATATCACTGACATTTCACTTTGACGCTTTTTGTTTTTGTTTTTATTGTGAAGGTACATCCTCCATCTTTCAAATGCATGTTTTGGCTTGTGATTATTTTTCAAATTCATTTTTAAAGCAATTTTTGTGAAATCATGGATATGTCAAAAATTTGTGTTATTTTCAAGTATGAGTTCCATTGTGGGACCAATGCAGCGCAGACAGCTCGAAGTATCAATGAAGTGTTTGGGAAGGATGTGGCTAATGAACGCACAGTACTCGATGGTTTGACAAGTTCCATTCTGGTGATTTTAACTTTGAAAATAAGCCATGTGGGTGACCTGAAAAAAAGGTGGATAATGATGAGCTGAAAGCTGTAGGTGGAAGCAAATCCATCTCAACCTACGTGTGAATTAACAGCAAGATTTGACATAACTATTTCAACAATATTAGACCACCTGAAACAAATGGACAAGGTAAAAAAGCTGGATAGTGGGTATCGCATGAATTAAACAAGCGTCAGAAGAAAATCGTCTTGAAGCTTGCCTTTCTTCGCTGTCACAACATAAAGGCAAATCATTTCTACACCATATTGTGACGTGTGATGAAAAACAGATTCTTTTTGACAATCACAAGCATTCAGCACAATGGCTGGATAAAGATGAAGTGCCTAAACACAGTCCAAAACCGAATACTCATCAAAAAAAGCTAACGGTGTCTCTTTGGTGGTCCAGCACTGCTACTACCCACTACAGCTTCATGAAACCTGGTCAATCGATTACAAGGGATGTCTACTGCAACCAGTTAGATGAAATGATGAGGATGCTTGAGATTAAGCAGCCAAGATTTGTCAACAGAGACAGGCCAATCCTCTTGCAAGACCACATGTCACAAAAAACAACACTGCTCAAACTACAGAAGCTGGACGTGGAAACTCTCTGTCATCCCCGGTATTCACCAGACCTTGCACCAACTGACTACCACTTCTCTTCCAGGCTTTGAACCACTCATTGCAAGGAAAAATACTCAATTCTCAACAAGCTGTGGAAAACGCCTTTCACAATTCCATCGTCACTTGCTTTTTAGGCTTCTTCGCGGCTGGCGCAAACAGGCTACTGCTAAGGTGGAAAACTATGTGGATAGTTTAGGCACATATTTTGATTAATTGTACCACTTCTTGTTTGAGACATACTAAACTTCTAATTCAAAATAGGACATTTCATATTTAATGACCTAATATTAAAAGCTAAGCTTTATTGTTAAAGTAGCATGTGGGACCTACTTAGGAAATAGCTGGACACTTTTTGGCTATGTGGAAAAAGCTATTAACTATGAGCAGGCTTTTAAAGACAAGGGAACAATATTTTGTATTATTCCATATTCAAAGCTACTGTTAAACAGTAGGCAGGCAAATTGCTGTTGACACTCTTGGACTCCAATAACATCTGCAGAATTTTTTTCTAATATAAAATGAAAAAAAAAAAAAAACCCTTCTGGGGGATGTTTTAGCCCCAAAACTAAGTTTAAGAATTGAGTGTACCAAATAGATTAAATCACTAAAAGTAAGAGGAAACCATAAGCTGTTCAAAATCTGATACTGCTCTATTGATTAAACCCCTTCAAAGGTTCACCACTGTCCACTTTAAAAAATAAATAAATAAAATTGCTTTGCAAGGCATACACAAAAGTCCCTTTAATATTTGGTCCCTGACAACCTCTCCCAGCTGCCCTGATACCACATTAGACTCCCTAGCCATAAAAACTGTTGGCAATTACCGAACAGTCCAACTCATTTCATGCCACTGAGACACGATTAACACTGTTCCTACTACATTAGATGCTCTCCTTCGGACCCTTAATGCAACCATACTACTCTTACTTATCCTGCAAAATTCAGGTTAAGTATCAATAGCCTCTATATGAAACTTTCATAACCTCCCCAGATAAACTACCTCTGTCCTTATAAGTACAAATATTATTTAACAGTAATTCCTGAGTTTTGGTTCCATCATGTATAAAATTACAAAATGTTAACTCAAGATTGTTGAGTGTTAAATAAGATAACAAGGTAAAGCACTTAACACAGCACCTGGCGCAAAGTACATACTTAATAAATGTCAACTCGTATTCTCTCCAAATTTTCCATTCCTTCCATAATCACATAAAAGCCATGCAAATGTCTGAACTTTAAATAATTACAGTTATAATATGAATTATCCCTTTACTCATAAACCAAAATCAGTCTGTAGAAGATTCTCAGATGGTAGCTTCTATCTATTTTTATCACCCTTCCACTACCAAGTGTTTTTTATTCTTCCGATCCAGTCTCTTATTCATGTAAAACCTTCAAATGTGGAAAAAAAAAACTCCTATAATAGATGGAGGTCAGCATGATTGAATAGCTCACACTCCACTGGTCTGGAGACAAAAAAATTAGAACTAATTACTCAAATGCACAAAACCACCATCAACTGATGTGAATAATCTGTTCTCATTGAATTCATTGAAACTAACAGTAACTCAGCTGAAATAAGAGTGTAGAATTAAAATAGTACCTGAAAAAGTACAGGCTATAGAGGCACTGACAGGAACTAGGGCCAACATCCCCCAGTGGTCTAATGGAACTGAATAGCATACTTTCATCCCCCAACGGACTAAAGGAACTGAATAATAGTGTACTATACCGAAATAAAGAGTTGCTCAATACAAGACAGTCTAAAACTGTCTAAACCAAAACGCTCTACCTAAAAGTCTACTATTGTCTGACCAATATTTAGTGAAAGAATACCTAATTATTCCTCAGTCTGACCCTTCATATTAATCCCTTCACTTTTATTCTCATATGTCACCACAGCAGTTCAAGTTGCTACACCTTAAAACAGGATGCAACAGAATTTCCAATTCTACAACTCCTACAAAAGAGAACAGAATAATATCACTAAAAATCAATGTTGTAAGGGGGAGGGGAAGCAGAAGCTTATTCCTCTGCTCTCACACAACAATCAACACAGAAGACTTCCATGATCAAATGTGTAAGGGATTTTTCCCACCAACAAGCAAGCAATCAATTCTGCAATGGGTGTCCTCTAATTCAATTCCAACACTATCTACCTAGAGACAGCATGAGATCTCACAGGTTGAGGGCTCAGTCCCCAAGACTGCCCCTCCCCTTCAGACACCACTTGCAAGTCCAGGCCTCCACAACATCTGAATAACCGGCTTCAAGTTGGCGTTCCCACAACCTTCTCTTTGGGTCCGACTAATTTGCTAGAGCAACCCACAGAACTCAGGGAAACACTTAGGTTTACTGGCTTATCATAAAGGACATTACAAAGGATACAGACGAACAGATGCTTAGGGTGAGGTATTACCCTCCATGTGTTCAGCTCTCTAGAAGCTCCCTCTGAACCCTGTCCTTTTGGGTTTTTAAGGAGGCTTCATGGCCTAGGCATGATGGATTAAACCACTGGCCATTAGTGATCAACTTAACCTTCAGCCTCTCTCCCCTCCCTGGAGGTTAGGGGATGGGGATGAAAGCCTCGCGACTCTAATCATGCCTTGATCTTTCAGGTGACCAGCCCCATCCTGAAACTACCTTGGTGCTGCCAGCCATCAGTCAACTCAGTAGCATCCAAAAGGTATCACTTTGGAGTTTCTAAGGATTTTAGGAATTGTCAGACAAGAAACAGGGTGGAAGACCAAATATGTATTTTATAATACCACAATACCTAACTCAAAAATCTTCAAATGATGCTCTACTGTCTACAATAAGTACAAACTTGCTCCCATTTCTATAAAATTATTCATTGTAAAATAATTCCTAAATTCCTCTCCAGATAAAAAAATTATGTAATTCTCTGATTCCTTCAGCTGAATATTAAGGTTCTCCATAATCAGCTCCAATTTAACTTTACAAGCATCTGCTACCACTTGCCTACATGAACCCAGATCCAAG